CGCGACGACAAGGCCGTGGACATGCTCAGCCTCGGCGCATGCCTCGTTAAGGTCTGCGTCAGGGCTGGCGGCACGAGGGCCACTTCGTCATCCTTCAAGTATTCAAAGTCTTCTGCTGGCCCTCCCCCTTGCTCTGTCTACCCGTCATCATCCTCCTTCCCCCTTTTCCCGTGAGTCCTCGAACGGTCCAGGACGTTTGACAGCGTTCGATAGCGTGGCCGAGGCCGAACGCGATCAGGAGCGATCGATCGCAATGCTAACCAGGCGTGGGTGCTACCGAGCGCTATCGAATGCATCCTTTGGCGCGAGCGCAGTCGAACGATATCCAGGCACGAGGCATCGTTCGAAGGGGCCGAGGCCGAACGCTGGCATGCGCTTTCGAGCGCTATCCTTGTGCGCGAGAAACGCTGTCGAACGCTAAAGGAAGCTATCCAGGGGCGCAAGTGACACGGAGGCTTCTCTTGAGTTGCATCCGTCCTGGCTTCATGGCGTTGCTCCACGGTAGATCCAGCGCTAATGCCCCGAGGAGCAAGAGGATCAGACAGGAAGAGAAGGGAGGAGCAGAAGGAGGGACTCCAGAGCCTCCCCGAAGGTCAACACACTCACAGAAACGCCATCTCATCGTCCGGAGTTTCCTCCTTCCCCTCCCCCTCCTCTTTTTCCTCGCTTCACGCCGCTGCTCCGGGGGAGGTGCACTGCCCCTCCCCCTCACCACCGCGAGCAGACCCAGAGGAAGGGAAGAGGGATGAGGGAGGAAGGATGGGAGGGGAAGGAGCAGGAGGAGGAGGAGGAGGAGGAGGAGGAGGAAGTGGAGGAGGAAGAAGTGGATGATGAGGAGGAGGAGGAGGAGGAGGAAGAGCGGAGGAGGGGGGGAAGGGAAGGGAAGGACGGGGAGGGGGAGGAACGGGGAGGGGGAGGAGGAGGAGGAGGAGGAGGAGAGGAAGGGGGGAGGAGGAGGGGAGAAGGAGGAGGGGGAGGAGGAGAGGGAGGAAGGGAGGAGGGGGAGGAGGAGGAGGAGGAGGAGGAGGAGGAGGAGGAGGAGGAGGAGGAGCGGAGGAGGGGGAGGGGAGGAGGGGAGGAGGAGGAGGAGGAGGAGGAGGAGGGAGGAGGAGGAGGAGCAGGAGGAGGAGGAGGAGGAGATGGAAGAGGTGGAGGGAGGAGGGAAGGAGGGGAAGGAGGAGGAGCGCTGGCACGATGCAGCTCCCAGGCCTGCTGGACCTTGCGGCGGTCGGCATCGGCGATCTCGTGATTATGAACCTTCATAAAGACCAAGGTGGCACGCGTGACGGCGCGCGCGACGGCCACCAGCTGGACACGACCAGGAACGAGTTTTTCATGAGCGTAGCGGAAGCTGGTTCGGCCGCAGCTGCTCGAGCCCCATTGGGGGAAACCAGGGGATGAGCGCGGCGACGCCGCCCGCGGCATTCGGGTCGTCGCCGTCGTCGCGCGAGAAATCAGAGAAGAAGAGTTTGTAAGGGGCACGGCTGCGCGTCGACCCAAGTGCGAAGCAGAGCCTCCGAGCCGTGGCCCTCCTGCAGTGCGCTGACGCACTTGCGCTTCATATACTTCGCAAGGGCGGCCTGCTTGCGACGGCGGCGTTTGCTCTTGTAGCGCATGAGGGCTCTGGCGTTCTACGTGGCGGTAGTGGTCGGCTCGGTGGCGTCGTCAACCCTCCACGGAGCCCAGCGACGGTTAGGAACGCCACGTGGCCGCCTCCGCATCAGCAAAGAGCGCCTGGAAGGAAGTGGTGATGTTGCCGCGATCGATGCGCTGGAACTGCGGGTGGTCGGCGGCCTGGTCGTTCCACAAGATGATGGACGGATCGGCGTGACCTGTGACCATGATTTTGGCAATGGGCATTAACTCGGCATGCAGTTCGCCTTTGTTCCTGAACGCTCTCCATCTCGCTCTTGGGCATCGTTGCCGCATGAGCTGGAGTAGTTTCTTTGTTTGAACGTCGGTGCGGATCTGCTTGGGCGACTTGTCGGGGTTGAGGTATATGTCGCAGGGCTGTCTTGTAATGTCTGTCGATGAGAATCTTGCCCACTTCCCAGCGGCGTCTCGGAGGGCGCGTGATAAGGCGAGGGTGCGAGGCACTGCGACAGCTTTGTCTCCTTTGGCTTGTAATATGGAGCGGCGAGCAGGTTGGCCACCGAGAAGGTCATGGCTTGACTGTAAGTTGGCGGCGGCGATCCACTCCTGGAGGTCGTTGAGCAGCAGGTCTGGCGCGATGAGGCGTTAGCTTCCGATCGCGAAGAGCGTCGGGTCGGGCTGTCTGTCCCATTCGGCGTGGCGGTTGAGGTCGATGATCGGCGTCTGGGCTTCGGCGAGGGCGAGCGCGTCGCGCATCTGGTCGATATGTTGCCACATGCGTTGATGTTCAGCAGCTTGGCGGTCTTGTTCTCTGCGAGTGCGGACAACTTCGTCGTGTAGAGCGTCAACTCTGCGTTCGGTTTCGGTGACTTGTCGTTGAACGAGATGTCTGAAACGTTCACGCGATTCGGCGAGTAACTGGTCGGCTTGGACTTGAAAGCGGGAAGCGGCTGCAGCGACTTGTCGTTGCATAAGTTCACGAACGGCGACGTCAAGATCTTCAGGAACTCCAGGAAGCGGTTAATTTCGCTCAGCGGGAATAGGATGCTGCCCTGGGCAAGGTACGGCGGGTCCAGGAGCTGGCGCGGCTTGTGCGGCGGGTGCGGCCGCAACTTCTTGAGATGGAAAGGTAGGTGCCAGCTCGATGTCACGCGCGAGCTATGAGCCGAACCAGCTGTTGGCCCAGGAGTCGGCGGCTCCCGGGAGCGGGCCCGCAGGAGGCTGACCAGGCGGCGGCATCTTCCATGGCCACGGGGGCGGCCGCGGCAGCGGAACGGCCTCCTGATCTGGCTGAAGATCGCGCCGGGGTTGGCGGCGGTCTCGCAGAGCTTCGGCCAATAGCGCAAGAGGGCGCACCCGCGGGGCCTTGGCTGCTGAAGCCCGTGTGGCCATGCTGTCCGAGATGTTCACGAAGTGCGCGTCGACCGTCACGGCGATGCTCTTCACGACGGGGTTGGCGGTCGTCACAACGTTCGGGCCGGCGAGGCTCGTCACGGCGATGCTGGCGGTCTTCGCGTCTGCTGCGGGACGTAGATCCGTTCGATGGATATTGGCATCGGTCTGAGGAAGCGGCCGACATGATGTCGAAGTACACACAGGACGGGGCGGGACGCTGTTCAGAACTTTGCCACTGGCCAGGTCCACTTCGATACCACTGCGCGTTTCAGCAACACTCGCTGGGCGGCTCGGAGCAGCGCTCGACGAGCGAATATGGATGATATGGATGGCCGCCTGCCAGGCCAGTAAGATGAGCAGGAAAGCGTTTGGGCAGCTGCAAGCCCCTGGACGCGGCAGCGAACGGAAAGCCGAGGCCAGTGAGAGCCCACCCCGTGGAGGCAGTGAAGAGGACACCATCTTGGCCTTGAGCCAAAATGGCTGCGGACCCGCACTGCGCGAGGAGGAGAGGGAGAAATGGCGAGAGAGGGGAGCGCAAGCAAGCAAGAAGTCATACACCCAGAGGTGCGTAGGACATCGGACTGGAAAAATGCTGTTGACTAAGAACTCAAATTCGTACCGCGCGGCGCTATACAGTCAGCTTTGCTGAGCGTACGAATTGCCGCCAGGAAACTTCATTAGCAAAGAGTGGGTTCAACATTGACATGCCGCCTGCCGCCGCGCGAGCGACTCGTAGCACCTGGGTTGTCCAGTCTGCGCGTGGCCGGCCTACCTTTCTCACGTATCGGTCTGCTGCCGGCCTGAAACTTCCAGAACAGAAGGTGGCGTTCCTGAGGAGGCTCCCTTCTGGTGTCCTGGCGATTTTGCCAAGCAGGAGAAGCTGCTGTCGTGCCACTGTGTCCGTCAGAGGGTGTTGTCCCGTTTTGTCTGAGACTATCACGTTGCTCACCCTGGAGATGTATGCTGGCTCGATTCCCCATATTACACGAAGATGCTGGCAATGGAAGCCATCCAGCAATGGAATCCATCCATGAAGAGAAAGAGAAGGGGAAGGAGAAGGAAACGGAGAGGGAGGATGAGGAGAAAGGGAAGGACGACGACGACGAGCGCCGCGGGAGAGATCCGCTGCGGCCGACTCCCCTGCGACCAAGCCTGAAACGTGCCGAAGGAGTTCGGACATACGGCGCAGCAGTGCAATCAGCAGCTGATGGCAGCCTTCGCTGCTGCTGAAACGCGGGAGAGTTGGGTACGCTCCCTCGCGCATTATACTCTGCCTTGAGCTTGTGATGTGTGAACACCAAGGCATGTATTTGATGCAAGCGGGCACGTGGATACTCAAGCTCATGATCGGGTTCCATACCCCGTTCGAGGCGAGTAATGGGGGGACGCGGGCAAGTGACCACGAGAGAAAGCAAGGTGAAGCAGGCGAGGACAAGAGATGTAGTGGCTGAAACCATCACGGGCTGGGGGCTCACATCCACAAAAACAGTGCCGAACATCCATATCCAAGGAGCCGAGCTGAGGTGGTCCAGGCGCTGGCCAGCGTCTTAAGGTGGGCCCATGCCCAGGAGTGCGGAGTTCGCGCAAGTATCCCTCTAAGCGCGGTCCATGGCAAGCTGATCTCAGCGCCTGGGAGCTGGGGGAGGTGAGGGAGCCAGGAGTAACTGCGACGGCGCAGTTACTCCTGGCTCCCTGTCACTTGACCTCATGCCAGGGAGGGCGTGAGGTCCAGTGACGAGGATCGCCGGAGCGACCGAGCGAACACTCGCCGTCGGCGGGGGCGGCGGCCGTCCAGCGCGGCAGCGCGGGCTCCATATGGGAAGGAGGAGGACGAGGAGGAGTTTAAAGGGGGAGGAGGAGTGGAAGGAGGAGGAGGAGGAGAACAGCGTCAACGATGACGACGACGACGACGACGACGACGACGACGACGACGACGACGACGACGACGACGACGACGGCGGCGGCGGCGGTGGCGGCGGCGGCGGTGGCGGCGGCGGCGGCGGCTACATCGCCTCGCGCCGCTGCGCTCGCGGGAGGTCCGCGGAAGCGCCGCCTGGGCGGGGCCTGGAGGCACACAGCCCTTCCAGGCCATGGGCTAGCTCGCCCACGTACGGTGGAGCGGCCCGGGCCAAGGCGGCTACATCGTTGTCGGCTGTGGCGTCGTCGACGTCGTGGACGTCCTCGTCGTCCTCCTCCTCCACCTCCTCCTCCTCCTGTTCCTCGTCCTCCTCCTCCTCCGCCTCCTCCTCCTCCTCCTCCTCCTCCTCCTCCTCCTCTCCCTCCTCCGCCTCCTCCTCGCCCTCGCCCTCTGATGGGTGCGTCTGCTACGTCAGCCATTTCCAGCAGGAGCGTGCGAAAAATCTGGGGGAGTAAGAAAAGGAAGTGATCGAACACTGTCGCGTGCAACCGTCTTCGACCCGGCCGCCAAATTTAGCTCTCGATGCATGGTCGCTCCGGGCGCCGGGGAGCGTCTGGGAAACCAGCCGCAGGAGCCGATGCGCTAGCCGCCCTCTCACTTTCCCTCCCCCCTATTGTCCGTCCCGGCCCATAATATCACGGCATCGGATAAGGAACCGCTGGGTCAGGAAACAAACGTCTGGAAGCCAGCGAAGCTCAAATTGACACTTGGCCACGGATATCACTGCCGCCATCATCAGATAAGGAACCCTCCAGGGTCTGAGGGCTCCTGGGCACATTCGTCAACGAACGCCCTCACAATTGCCTGCGCCACCCGTGCGGGGGGGGGGGCGTGAAAATGACGGCGCCTGGCGGTCCGCGCCTGCGGTCTGCACTACACCTGTCGGTGCGGGACCACGCGATGATCGTGCCTCGCGCGGTGCGTCGTTGTCCCGATGGGTGCGCCGTGGTTGCCACGAGGTTGCCCAGTGGTTGTCCCGCCGATAGAACAATAGATAGTGAGACCGATCGATTGCTTCTGGCTTGAGGAGGAAGGAGCACGACCACCAGGGTCCGACACCGCGGCTATGTAAAACCACCCTGCAAGTCAGAGAGTCGCCAAGCCAACCCAAAACGCCGCATCAACCAACCTGCCGCCGGACAAAATTATGCAATGAACCTTGGAGGTCGATCAATACTTACTGATATAGATAAATGCGTTGATCGTGATATCGGTGAATCGGGAAAATGCCCACACCAAGAAATCGTTTCGTTTCGTGCGCGACGTTGCGTTTTCCGTCCGTGGCCCTCGGTTGCCCCGTTGCTGTCCCGCCGGCTGTCCCGACGGTTGTCCCGATGGTTGTCCGACGGTTGTCTCGTCGGGTGGCCCGGTGGTTGTCCCGATGGTTGTCCCGATTTCTGTCCCGATGGTTGTATGGATGATTGTCCGACGGTTGTCTCGCCGGTGATTGCCCCGATGGCTGTCCCGATGGTTGTCCCGATGGTTCTCCCGATGGCTGTCCTGATGGTTGTCCCGATGGCTGTCCCGACGGTTGTCCCGATGGCTACCCCGACTGATTTCAACGGTTGCGCCGATGGTTGTTCCGATGGACTTCCCGACGGATAACTGTGAACTGCGAGTGTAAAAGAATGCGCGGTGTAACAGAATTTAATACAACACACACGAATACGCATACAAGACTGCACTGGCGCTTCGCGCCGCGCGCCCTGTTTCGCCGCCCCCCCACCCCCCAACCGACAAAAAAAAAAACATCCCGCATCCTTCCTCGCACGTCTGCTCCCTTCGCCCCGTTCCACGCGCGAGCGTCGCAGAGGCGGGGGGGGGGCGGGCAGGCGAGTCAGCAGCGGGAGGGCGGGGAGGGGGGGCGAATTATTGTCGCGTCAGCCCCAGCAAGCTCACGGCGCGAATTCGGGCCCCACCCGCCGCAGCGGCGGCGGCGACCTCGCGCACGTCGTTGCCCGTGGCCACGTTGTCGCCGCGTTCTCCTCCGGCGCGGCGCCTCCGAGCCGGGATAGCAACTGCGACTCTTCGCAAACGACGAACTGCGTGGCGCAGTCCGCCGCGGTGGCACTTTCGCAGTTGGAGTCCGCCGCCGCGCCGCGAAGCGCGGTGAGGAATGTCATCGGGTCCTTCAGGGTCCTTTGCGCTAGCGTTCGGTTGCCTGGTCGGTTACCTCGCGGGTCTTGGTTGGCTGCCCTGTCGGCTGCTCGGTCAACTATCTCACGCGCTTCCTGGGCGGCTGTCCGAACATCCTCAGCCAGCGCCCCGGGGCGGCGGCGGGCAGGGCCGAAGGCCAATAGATGCATGCGCCGCGCCAAGTTGGGGCCGAACTGGGCGGAAGTCACAGCCATGGGGCCCACGAGCGCCTGATTGCGCGCAGCCCCAGCCTGGCGGAGGAGGACGGTCCAGAGCTGCAGGGCGGCAGCGCTCTGCGCGTGCAGCGCGGGAACCCTGCGGACCGGCACGCCCCGCTCTTCAGCGGCCCGCGCCGTGGCCCCCAGACGCTGTGACACCGCGCGGCGGGGCCCGTTCCCGGCGAGCACCGCTGCGGGCGTCTTCCGGTGCCGCCCGCGGTCTGGGCAGTGCGAGGAGGGCTGCCGAATGCGCAAAGCGTTCTTCGCCCTGAAGCTCCCCCAGCCCCGAGATGCCGCGAGCGCGCCCTCCAGGTCCTCGGCGGACGCAACAAGCAGCTCGGGCACTATGCCGCCACCGTTCCCTAACTCCGACAGCGCATTCAAAAAGCACCTGCCGTTGGCGGCAATTCTTCGCAACTCGTGGGATGCCTCGGCAAAGCCAAGCTTGGCGAGCCTGGCCGTGTCTAGCGTCCACGGGCTGAAACTATCGCCAACCAGCTCGGAAGGGTGACTGGCGTGTTCGTGGAGAACCACATTGAGTTTTGCCACCACTCCTTTGCTCGCAACAATGGCATCAATGTTGTCGCAGTTTACGCGCAAGGCGACCGGGGGGTACAACAAGTCATGCAGCAGCGCCGCGCTGTCTCGTGCGCGAGGTGGGCACGGGTTCAATATGCATTTGTGCTCGCCCCGCCTTGTCTGCTCATTCCAAATACACCGTCTTGCGTTCGATGTTCTTCACGTATACCGGGATGTTGCTGTTAAAATTCGCGCGGTCGTGGGCGGCCCCTCCGCTGAGATGCACGTGAGAGTCGCGCCACGCCGCCAGCGCTGGAAAAAAGGGCCTGGTCAGAACGTGGGGGCATGGGATTGTGAGCGACCCTGGTGCAAGTGCCCCGCGTTGTGAAGGCGGCGCCCGTTAAGAGCAAACGATCTGGCAGGTGGGCAAGGTCATTAATGCAGAAACGAACAAAATCCGGGGGAGAGGGGACATTGCCAATGACACGAGGGTCGTGCAATGCAATGCCCGCGCGACGCCTTCAGCTCCGCACCTGTCAGCGTTTCCATATGCACGTCCTCCATGACTGGCAGGAGTTGCGCGCTGGGAGTAGCCCGCGCCACCAGCGAGGGAGATCTGTGGTTCGCAACGACTTCCTCAGCAGACTGTTTCGGGCCATCTGCCGCACGCAGCGGACGAATCATAACGAAACCCAGAATGAGTTTTTCATTGCCATAACGACTTCACCTCTGAAGACGCGGTGATGTTTGAGCCAAACTGGCTCTGGCGCCCGACTAAGAGAGAGCCATAGGTGACTTCCAAGATGGCCCGACGTGTCCGAAGATGGCTGAGTTCGATGGCTGAACGAAGCTTCCAGCGTGCTCCAATGAGCTGGAAGATTAGCCCGAGACGATCTGCTCGAGCTTGAGGCCAATCCAAAAAGGGTGTTCGGACCACAGCAGGCCTCTTCGATGTATTTGGGTCTGTGGGGAGGCATCTCGGGGTCGTCGCCGAAACCGTGTTGCTGGTTTGGGAAATAATTTGGAGCCCCTTTTGGTTTTTTGTTGGTCTTTTTGGGGACCTCGTGAACCCTGGTTGGGGCTTTTTGGCGCCTTGTGGCAGCTTCGTGGGTCCTTCAGGGCTGGAGGGTTCGCGCCTGGTGGCTGTCTGAAGGTCCTTGAAAACTAAATGGCCCTCTCTTGGGCCCGTCTTGGGGCCTTCTTCGGTCTCGGGTCGTCATGGGTTGTCCTGTGGCGATGTTGGGGGCCTTTTGGGCCTTCCTGGAGCGTCGGTAGCACGAAAAAACGAGAATACCGAAATAATGCAAAAACCTTTTGGAAACTAACAGGCCTTGGATTTGGAGGCCCACTTGGGGCTTCCTCCTTGAGCTCTTCGGGGCGTTCGGAAGGTCCCTGGGGCCATCAGGAGGCCATGTTGGACCCTCTTGGGGCTACCGCCAGCTCAATTACACGACTTGGTAGGAACTCCCAGAAGCCTGGAGGTCGCATGGCAACGTCGGCAGGGGCGTCCAGGTGCCCCAGAAGCCGGGGATTCCGGAAGGTCCGGCCCGCGGAGGGGGGGGGAGGGTTCCCACCCCCCCGGGTTGCAAAAATATGGCAAAGGGAATACGGGTGTATCCGCCACCCGCCACCGCGTGGGCAGACGCCCTCCAAAAGCCGCGTGGCTCCCAATCACTGGCCTCAGCCGGCGGCGGCCCAGCTGGCCCTTCGCTCTCCAGCGCCCGCCTGGCTTTGCTGGGGCGGACTACGCCCTCCTCGGCGACCTCCTCGGGCCTGGTGTTGCCCCCCGTCGCCCCGAACCTCGCCGGCGCCCAGGCTCCCTGCTGGGGTTCCGCGCTCTTTGCCGTTTCTCCCTGGCCCCCCCGGCGTCGGGGCCTCCTCCTGCTGACAGTGCACCAGTTCGGTGTCTCTCGCTCCCCAGCGGCCCTCGTACTCGCGGCGGGCCTGCCTCCCAGCCCTCTGGTCGCGCTCCCCCGTGCCTCGGGGCCCTGGGCTGGTCTTGCCGCCCACGCCCCCCTCCCCCTGCGCCCCCCCGCCCTGCCTGGTCGTCAGGCGAACCCCTGACCTGGAGGAGGCTTCGCACTGCACCGCTCGGCCGTTCGCTGCCCCGGCAGCTTGCACGGACCATGCGGGTCCTCGGTACCCCACGGGGCCGGGGCTCTTTTTTGCTTCCGCCTTCGTCACCAGCTCTGGCTGGGCACTGGCTCCCCGCCCCGGCCCGCTGCCCCGCAGCCAGCCTCGGCGCCCCCCCGCTCCCCAACCGCCGGCCCGCCGCCGCTGGTCGCCCTCCCCCCCACGGCGCCGCCCCCGCCGCGCGCCTGGCCTCGCTCTGAGCGGGCCCCGCTTCCGCCTCCCGCCCGCCGTCGCCGGGCGTGTCCTCCCTCCCCCCTCCTGCATGGTGGCTTAATTCGCATTTCGTGCACACACCAACGCCCTATCGCCAGCGCACTCTGCCTAGCCGCCGACGGAAATAGCGTGTATCCGCCACCGTGCCTTCGCGGGGTGAATGTGTTAGAGTGCTCTTCTGTTGCCTTGTGAATTGTTTGTTGTGCTTTGGGGGCCGGCCGACCCCCCCTCCCAGTGTCGCGCGCAACCTCAGAAAATCGCCCCCCTGCCCTCTGGCGTTTTTTTTCGCCTCCAGACGTCCTGGATGGCCTCCAAGACGGCTTCCAAGACAGCCAAGATGACACCTAGACGGCCCCCGATGACCCAAAACCACTCAAGAGGCCCCCAAGATGGCCTCAAGGCAGCCCAAGAGGCCTCTAGGGTCGGCCCAAGAGAGCTCCACGAGGTCCTCCAGAAGAGCCTGAGGATGCAAACAATTGGTGTGCCTTAGGTGTTTGAAAGATGCTGATGCTCTCGTCTGTTTGGGTGTGCGACCGCCAAAGGTAGCCCAAGATGCCTCCAATATAACTCTAAGACAGCCCAACAAGACCCCCAACAGGGTCCCAGGTCGGCCCAAGAGGCCCCCAAGAGGGCCCCCAAGAGATCCCCAAGAGGCTCGCAAGAAGCCCCCAAGCGGCCCCCACGAGGCCCCAAGAAGCACCCAAGACGCCCCAAGAGGCTCTGAAGACCACCACGATGCCCCAAAGACGTCCCAAGAGGCGTCCAAGAGTCCCTCAAGAGCCGCCAGGAAGCCCCCAAGACGCTAAAAGAGACCTACAAGAGAACCCGAGAGACATCCCAAGAGACTCCGAATGGCATCCAACTCGCCTCTGATCGACGGAAGCTCCCCGAGCTCTCCAAATAATGCCACGCTCCCCCGATAAGGGCAGCTCCTCTGGGCATCGTTCCTGGATGGGCTGGCTGGAATACGCGAAGCGTTACGAGTTGAACATTCTTCCTGCTTCGCCGTTGCATAGGAACGACTGCGTGGTTTGCCGCAAGCAAGTGGATATGATGTGCCTCTGTGAACGGATAGTGGGATAGGCAAATAGCGAGACCGATACATACTGAGAAGGTAGGAGAGATGGTAGATGGCTGTCCAAATGGTTGTCCGAATGGTGGTCCCGATGGCGGACCCGATGGTTGTCCCGATAGGTTCGGATGTCGGCATAAAGATGGATGGTGGTAGAAGGACCTATATGCAATGAGATCGACGGGTTCATCACAGACGGTTATCCCGATGGTTGTACCAATAATTTGTCCGATGGCTGTCGCGATGGTTATCCCGATGGCTGTCCCGATGGTTGCCCCGATGGCTATCCAAATGGTTGGCCCATCGGTTGTCCCGGTGGTTATCCCGATGGTTGTCCCGATGGGCAGATTGTGAGATCGGCAAGAAGATTGATGGTATGACTGGTAGATGGGCATTGGGATCGAGAGATACCGATAGATAGTAAGACAAATAGAGGTTGCTCGACTGAGACGGTTGTCCCGATGAATGATGGTTCCGACGGTTGCTCGATGAAATAATCGCGATTGCTGCCTGGGCGATGTATAGTCATGTAGATGTTCATATATCTAGACACAGGTGTGTATATATAGGAGTTCAGTTCATACGTACATGTATATATACACATATCGATTGAGATAGATGGGGGCGCACTGGGACATATAGCTATGTAGATGGAGGGGCTGACATTTATAGATGAATGATATATGTATGCACAAAAGGATTAAATGAATAGACGGATGCAGGTACTGTGTATGGATGTATGCATCGAGGTTGATGTCCCGATTTGTGCCCAATCATAAAATGAGTTGCGCGCCCAATGCAAATCAAACATGATCTCAATCCCCCGACCTCCACATCACTCGAAACATGGTGAGACCGATAGATAATGATATCGAATGTTCAAATAAATTGATCGATGGATTTGTTGTGATACCAGTCGGTTGACCTATGCAAACAGAACCGTTAGACCCCAATGGCCTGATGTGGAAAGGTCTCGCGGTCCAACGAAAGACACTTGTGCATGTTGGTTTCAATGGTACGTCGACCCGCCTGCCGATGTTGATTACTGCAGCACGTCGACGCGCCTAAATCAGTAGTGGAATCGAGGCAGGTGTTGGAGCTGAAGCTAGAAACTGAACTGGATTCGGAACCCGGGCTTGCGTCGGAAAAGAGTCGGCGTCGGTGTCGAAGACGGAGTTGGAGCCGGAGTCGGATATGAGTTCGGAGCTGAAGTCGGAGGAGGAGGTGAAGTGAAAGCTGGAGTCGGAGCGGGAGCTGGGGGATGAGAGGAGTGAGGAGGTGGGGGAGAGGATGAGGAGGAAGAGGAGGAGAGGGAGGAAGACGGAAGGGGAGGGAGCACGGAGAGCGGAGGAGGGAAGAGGGAGGAAAGGGAGGGAGGAGGCAGGCGAGCGGCTTCTGGTCAGAACAAAGCCGCATGCCGAACGCGTGGTGCGACGAGGATGTTGCGGAGGGAGTGGGGAGGGGGGCATAAGAAGCCGTCGACTCGCATCACGCATGTACTGGCCGTCTCGTCTCATTGATCGCAAGGGGCCATTTTCGGCACAACAACCATCAACAGGAGCATGACGGCAGCCAGGATAGCTTTACAAAGTGTGACAAGGTCGTCGACGTCAGACGTCGTGAATGGAAAATTGAGCCCCATGGGGTCCACATACTTTGAAAATGGATAGCCCCTTTCGTTCCAGGAAAATGAACTCGCGCAACGCGCGCACCTTGAATGCAATAAGCATGGCGTGCATTGGGAGTACTGGTGCACCACATACCATGCTCGATGGCCCTCCCAGCGCACAACCTGCGCACCCCATGCGAGCGGACTATACACAGCACATTCGGCAGTGCTTGTGTGATGAAGGCACATGAATGCGACACATGCGTCTGAACAGCGATATCTGCGAATACGCAGCAAGCACTAACCAGCACCGCATCTGCATTCTTCATCTGTTCGCCCCGCGATAGATCGGCTAAGCGTCTCGCACATGCTGCAAACAACTAGTACAAGCTTAGTGATATAATGCAAACCATACGTGCCCGTCAACAACGATCACCGTACAGCGTAATCTGCCAATACGGGCCGAGACCACGACACAACACGTATTATCCGCATGACTAACCCAGCCTGCCCCATGGCGCCGCTGATGTAGGGCGCGTCCTCCTCCAGTCCCCTCTCCCCTGCGGTATGGGGTTACCTCTCGCCCTGCCCACTGCCCTGAATCTGGACAAAGGGGGGCGACCAGATGAAGGCCCCAGACGGCTCAAACATGCCCCTCAGAGTCTAACATTGGCTTCAAAATGGAGAAATGTAGGCCGAACATTGCTCAAGACGGCTTTGATCATGACCCTAAGAAGCTCCAAGACTTCCCCAAGACGGAGTAGTCACAGGGTCTCCCATGGACACCCCTGATAGGACAGATTCATCGAAAAGCACGTGTACTACAATGTTGCCTGCCTCCTCACCTGTTCACTTCCGAACGACTTCTGGAGCCTCTTCATGGCCCCAAGATAACCGCAGGCAGCTCCAAGTTTGGGGCCAGGCGTGCTTAAATGCGGACGCGAGAACGCCTCAAAAGCGTCCCACGAGGGCCTCAGCAGTGATAGCGGTGATAGGGGGTGATTCAGGACTCCCCCTTTCTGTCATAAGATAAGCGTTACTGGGAAATCTAAGGTGTTTGAACTCCGTGGGCATCTCGGGGGTCATCCTTGGGCGACTTATGGGGCAAGGTGTCTCCAACATGGCCCCCGATATTCTCAGATGACCTCCAAGATGCCCCAAGATCTGGCAATCCAGTCTCCAGCATGCCTCCCAAACGCGCCAAAGCGGCCCCAATACTGCCCCAAGAGGTCTGGGAACGTCCCGAGGAAGCACCCGAAATGGCAGAATAACATGTACTGCTTCATGTCACTTGATTGTGTTGGATTCCTTGCACTCTCGTTTCCGGGTGGTTTCTGGAGCCCTGGACTGGCCCTCAGACCGCTAAAGAAAACCCCCAGGTGGGCCCAGATGACCTCCAAGACGGTCCCAAACGCCCCTGGGAGTGCCCCAAGAGGGCCCCGCGCCTACACGTTCCTGATCAAAGTAACTCGCCTGGGCAGAGCTTCTGGACGGGCAAGTGGGGACACGCGAAACGACAACAACCCCAGTATGGGACCGTGCAGGCAACCCACATTTTTTCACACGCAAGCAAAACAAGGACACGGCACACGCTTGACTACGGATCTCAGTCAAGACAGTTTTCGTAGATTGTGGACACATCGCTTGCTGGGCCCACCGAAAACACTGTAAATCGTATGCACTGCATACAGAGTGCGTGTAGACAGAGCGTCGACCGTGGAAACCGTTCCTGGTTCGCTCTGCGCACCGTACTTCGCAAAGAACGCACTGACAGCACCAACATCACCCACAACAAGAGTTGTTTATTGCAGAGCCGTGGGCCACACATTCTCACTGTGTATCATGCGGCGCGTTCGGCGTTACGGCTAGCATCGCTCCATACAAGGTAGCACCAAGCAAGCCACGATCGCGTTTCTGAAACAGCCGTGACATAGTCGTAGCCGGAATTAAACAGGGCTGTCAGGGCTCACGCTGGGAATTGCCATACCACGGATACCAGAATACGCTGTATAAGCTGTCGTGCGCATCGCACACATGAAATACGAATGAATGCGCTACGCGCGTAAGGCACAATAATGCAAAACTAACGAGCTAGCCCGCTCACATGGGTAACATGAACACGTTGCGATCAATCGCGTGTCGCCGCACGTCACCACACAGAACATGCCGCGACACGTGCCGGTCGCCGTTGTCTCCTCGAACGCGAATTGGAAACACCCGCGGGGGGCGCCTCTCGCCCCGAACGGGGTTCCAAAGGTCCAATATTGCTGAAGATGGCCCTGAGATCGCCCTGAAACTCAGGGAGCCCTCAAGACGAAGAGAAGGACATAAGGCGTCAATTATGATTGCACGTTACATGTTTTGCCTTCAACATGCCACGGCATCGCTTCACGGCGCCCCCAAGATCTCCTGCCATCGCCAAAGACCGCTTCAAGGTGGCTCCAACTGCCCACATGCGCCGCCACAATCATCCATAATGGCCCACTAAAGGCCCTACAACCCCCGCGAAACGTAAAGGAAATTTTGCCGACCCCCCCTCGCCCCCAATTTCACTGTTCAATTGCGCGCGCGGCGCGGCGCGCGGACGCCCTCGGAAAATGCGCAGTCGCGCGTTCCAGCATCAGCATTGAAATTTCGGGGTCCTGGGGCGCCAGCGCAGCGCGGGGTAACGCGCTTTAAATTTCGCGGAGGGATAGTCGCGCGGCCCCACTGATCGGCTTTCTCTGGCGCGGTTGTGACAATCAGTGCTCCTTCGCGGGGGCGTCTTTCAGTCCGCCGCCCCGCGGCGCGCGCGCGGCTGCGCCGTGCCCGCGCGCATCTCACTCGGCCCTCTTGGCGACCCCGCCGCGCCTGGCGCGCCCCGCGCCGCTGGCGAGCCCGCGCGCGGCACGCCTGGCGCACGCGGCGCGCCTGACGCACGCGGCGCGCCCCGGACGGACTGCGACCTCCACGCGCGCAATCGTTCCGCGCGATGCCGCCGCCCGCCCGCCGGGCACCGAAACTACTTTGCTGGGGCCCAAGGGCTTCGTGGGCGGGGCCCGCCAAGGGCGCTGGCGCCCTCCCCCGTTCGCCCCGCCGCGGCGGGCGCCCGCGCACAGAACTGCTTTCCGCAGTGGCGACGCCGAAGACCTTCATGCCCTGAGCTGCGCCGTAGCGTCAACAGCAAAGTTATGTTTGACAATCGTGTCCAGAGAGACTGTTTAGTCCTTAAAACCTTTCGATCTGCCAATGAACTGCCCCAGCCCCCCCCCCTGGATATCAACGTTTCTGCAAAGCTGCAGCTCCGCAAGATCGCCCCACTGATCCCCGCAGCGACCAGGCTCAGGCCCCCCGTGCCCCCTTCGCCCCAATACCTGTTGCACTCAGCGGGCTCTCGATCACAACGCGCGGGCCTCTGCGCGGGGAATCGTTCCCCGACGCATCCAACCTGGATCGGGACGTTCAGGGAGACCCCATCGAAGGTGTACTTCCGCGGGGGAGTGGGGCGAGATTGGGGGCCCATGCAAGGCCATGACCTCACCCGCGCAAGAGCACAGCCCAGCAGTCAAAATAAAGTAATCGAATACATGGCCCTTACCCGCAGCACAAGTTGTCGAGGCAGGCGCGACAACAGGCGCCCCCAGCTCTGATCACCAGGCAAGCAGCCCAGCAGTCTTCGGGCTCACTTTGGCGTCGCACCCTAGACCCCAGGGAAACGAAAGGCTCCCAAGAAGCTAACCGAGCCCCATCACATGGCCCAAGTTGCCCCCGCTGGCGCCCCGGGAGCGGTAGAAAAAGACGGGGGGCCAAACCATTCCTCCAGGGATGGCGCCACGCACGTGCCTAGCAATAACTCGACTTTGCGCCTCAGCAACAGACTGCAACAACCCGGGGCGAGCGCGCGCCAGTGGATGGGCGAGCGGCCCCCAGCCGGCGCGCCTGCAGACGTTCCAAGGGGCCCAGATCCCGCAGCTACTGCGGGCCAGAAGGCGACGCCGAGCCTCTTCATCCTCAGTGAGCCTGCGCGCCGAGAGATTAGAGCTCGATCAAAAACTCGAATCTCCTGGCCCGCCCAAACTGTGGCCGAGGGCCCCTGACACCGAATATTCCTCCTGTCAGCTGGTTTCCTACCCCGCCTGACCCTAGCACGGCCCGCAGAGGAGGGGGGGGGGGGGGGGGGCGCGGCCGCTGCGGCAAGCCGCCCGACCCCAACGATTCGTTGATCTTTTTGCGCTTTGCCATCTTAAACTGAATCATCCGCTGCATGCTCAATCGCAGCGCCTGGAAGACGCGGCTCATGGCGAGCCTCTTCATCACCGCGTCCTGCCGGTGGCGCGCTGCCAGGCACCCGTTCACTCAGCAGTACTCGCACCCCGCCTCTGACATGGCGAAATACAAAACATGTCGCCCAACAGCACGTCCCCGCGCATCGTGGCCATCCCGATTGTTAGGCCAACCGTGGCATTCAACAACAGGCCTGCGTGCCGCTGCCGACCGCGCCCACGCCCAGTTGCAAACGTGGTGGGCAATCTCCTGCAATGACCTGCCTTGAGCAAAAGCTGCAACCCATCCGCCCTGACGCTACCTCCGCAACTTGGCTTGGACGTAGGGCTCGCACCATAATCGCCAGTCGCAATATCCAGAATCGCTTCTATAGGGTCGCCAGATCGCTCGCGTCGCACGTGCCATGGTACCTCGCCCGCGCAAGAGCACAGCCCAGCAGTCAAAATAAAGTCACCGAATACATGGCCCTTCACTGAAGCACAAGTTGTCGAGGTAGGCGCGACAACAGGCGCCCCCAGCTCTGATCACCAGGCAAGCAGCCCAGCAGTCTTCGGGCTCACTTTGGCGTCGCATCCTAGAATCCAAGGAAACGAAAGGCTCCCAAGAAGCTAACCGAGCCCCATCACATGGCCCAAGTCGCCCCCGCTGGCGCCCCGGGAGCGGTAGAAAAAGACGGGGGGCCAAACCATTCCTCCAGGGATGGCGCCACGCACGTGCCTAGCAATAACTTGACTTTGCGCCTCAGCAACAGACTGCAACAACCCGGGGCGAGCGCGCGCCAGTGGATGGGCGAGTGGCCCCCAGCCGGCGCGCCTGCAGATGTTTCATGGGGCCCAGATCCCGCAGCCACTGCGGGCCAGAAGGCGACGCCGAGCCTCTTCATCCTCAGTGAGCCTGCGCGCCGAGAGATGAGAGCTCGATCAAAAACTCGAATCTCCTGGCCCGCCCAAGCAGCGGCCGAGGGCCCCTGACACCTCCCATCCCCCAGTCCAGGATGGCACCCAGAGGGACAGGTGCTGGCATCGCAAGAAAAGAAGCTCCAAATATTCCTCCTGTCAGCTGGTTTCCTACCCCGCCTGACCCCAGCACGGCGCAGAGGGGGGGGGGAACGGCCGCTGCGGCAAGCCGCCCGACCCCAAAGACTCGTTGATCTTTTTGCGCTTCGCCATCTTAAACTGAATCATCCGCTGCGTGCTCAATCGCAGCGCCTGGCAGGCGCGGCTCATGGCGAGCCTCTTCGTCGCCGCGTCCTGCTGGTGGTGCGCTGCCAGGCACCCGTTCACCCAGCAGTACTCGCACCCCACCTCTGACATGGCGAAATACAAAAACATGTCGCTCAACAGCACGTTCCCACGCATCGTGGCCATCCCGATTGTTAGGCCAACCGTGGCATTCAACAACAGGCCTGCGTGCCGCTGCCGACCGCGCCCACGCCCAGTTGCAAACGTGGTGGGCAATCTCGTGCAATGACCTGCCTTGAGCAAAAGCCGCAACCCATCCGCCCTGACGCCACCTCCGCAACTTGGCTTGGACGTAGGGCTCGCACCATAATCGCCAGTCGCAATCTCCAGAATCGCTTCTATAGGGTCGCAAGATCCATCGTGTAGCACGTGCCATGGCACCTTCAAGAAAAGCCAGGCCAGGTGAGTTTGGACCGACTTCAGGAAGAGGAACGCACATATCAGCAGGGGCCACGTCCGTTACACACACAATCGATGCCACCCTAAAGAAGCCGTTTGACGGGCGCTTGCCTTGGGAACATTCGGCGGCGCGTTTCGAACCGGGGGGGCGCCCCCCTCCCCCCCAATAACACTCGGCGCCGTCGGTCAAAACCAAAGGGCCCCCCCTCCCCCCAAACCCCATCCTTACTTCCTGTGACTGAACACCCCCGCATCCCCACCTAGCCGGCCGATAGCAAACCCGCCGCCCTAACCGTCACAAAAAAAATCGAACTCAATTTGTTCCTCGCCTGCATGTCGTCGAGTTGTGAAAAGTGTAGCAGGAATGGGGCGGAATGGGCACCGTTTGGGTTAAGCCTAAGCGGGTGGTCGCGTCTTACCCATCAGAAGACAAAACATAGTCAATGTGTTTCTCGTGAACGTGGACTTTCTTGTCGTCGACGCTGCGAAAAAATGTAGCAGGGATGGGACGCGGCGCACATTGCGCGCGGACGCCTGGCCAACCCTACGCGGGACCCCCGTCCTACCTGCCAAAAACACCGCAGCGTCGACGTTTTTCTTGCCAACATGTATTTTCTCCTCGTCGGAGCTGCGAATCGCGTAGCGGGAATGGGACGCGGCGAACAAAGCGCGGGGGCGCCTGCTCGTCAAAATGGACTTTCTTGTCGTCGACGCTGCGGCCCGTCGGGTTGAGGAGCTAGCTGGGCGGGCGGCAAGTCATAATGCTTCAAGCAAGTGCGGTTCCAGCAACTGCCTCAGGGGACCAACAACAGGTAGAAAAAAAGGCGTCCAGGAGGTCCTGGGGGGCAACACAAATATTGATTTTCATTTGGTGTTTGAGGAATTGTGAGGTCAGCATCAATTTGTGTTGGCAATGCTCCAAAACGGAAGATATATCCAAGAGGCCCTCAAGCGCATGCCAGAAAGCTCCCAGGACGCCCCGCGAATTCCGAAGAGGCACTCTCCTCTTCCCCCTCAATTTCTCACTCCTTCCCTCTCTCCTTCCCCTCCTCCTCCTCCTCCTCCTCCTCCTCCTCCTCCTCCTCCTCCTCCTCCTCCTCCTCCTCCTCCTCCATGCGCGGCAAGAGCGAAGCGATTGGCGGTGCAACACGCGCGGCTGGAATGAGACGCGGCGCACTTCGCGTGCTGGACATGTTGTCGCCGACGATGCAACATGAGAGGCCGGAGCGGGGCGCGGCCGTACATCGCGCGCGGTCTTGTTTCTCGTCGACGTTGCTCAACGCGCGGCAGGAACAGGACGCAGCTCATGTCGCGCGCTGAACCTCTAGCCGCCCACGACATAAGATGAGCGACAGGCGTCGGACGCGACGCACTTGCTTCTTACGTTGTAGGAGGGGGGGTGGGAGTGGACGGAGCCCTCTGGCTCGTTCGAGCTGGCTAACATGACCCCTCCCGAACCCCCCCTCCCAGAAGGGGTGGGGGGGGATCAAAACCCCCCCACACCCCTCGGCGCCGGCGCCGGCGGCCGCCGGCAGCGCCGACGGCGGGGACGCAGCGACGATGACCAGAGGCAGCCCAAGGGAGTGGGGGGTTCACAACCCCCCCCCACCCTTGGCGCCGAGGGGTGGAGGGGCTCAGCGACGGCGGGGACGCAGCGACGATAACCACCACTACCACCACCGCCACAACTACCACCACCACCACTACCGTCTCAACCCACACCACCACCACCACAAACAACCCACCACACAACCACCACCACCACCACTACAGCCACCATCACCACCACTAACACCACCACAACTCACCATCACCACCACCACAAAAACCACCACCACTACCACCACCACCACCACCACCACAATCTACCACGCCACCACCACCACCGCCACAACCACCACCACTACCAGCAGCACAACCCACCACCACCACCACGAGCCACCACACCACCACCACCACCACCACCAGCACCACCTACTCAAACCACCGCCACCACCACAACCACAAACCACCACCACCATCACCACCGCCACAAACCACCACCACACCACCACCACCACAACCCACCACCACCACCACAACCACAAACCACCACGACACCACCACCACCACACCACCACCACCACCACCACAACCACCACCACCACAACAAACCACCACCACCACCACCATCACCACCGCCACAAACCACCACCACACCACCACCACCACCATCACCGCCACTACAACCCACCACCACCACCACCACAACCACAAACCACCACCACACCACCACCACACCACCACCACCACCACAACCACCACCACCACAACAAACCAACACACCACCACCACCACAACCACCACCACCGCCACCACGACCACCACAACCCATCACTACCACCACCACCACCGTCGTCCTCGTCGACGCTCCCCGCCGCCGCCGCCCGCCGCCGCAGGCGCCGGCGCCGGCCCACAAACGGAAATCGTCGTCCCCGCCGCCGCCGCCACCAGCCGCCGCCGACGCAGGCGCTGGCCCGAGGAGAAGGAGAGAGGAAAAGTAGGAGGAAAAAGGGGGGTGGTTCGAACCCCCCTCCCCTCCGTCACGGAAAGGGGGGGGGGTCGAACCCCCCCTCCCCCCCCTCCATCCTGGGGGGTGGGGGATCGGGTTCCAACCCCCCCCCTTCCTCTAAGCGACCACAGAACGCGCTCTGTCCGTCGAGCCGATCGTCCCCAAGCGCCTGCGATCCACAGGTAGAAAAGGGCCTGCATGTGGGGCGTTGCGAGGATCCTCTGGCGCTTCCCCACAGCGGGGGTCCTCCCACGGATCCAAGGGTTCTTGCGAACCCAAGTCTCGTGGGAGCCCCTGCCACTGCGGGGTCTCCACTACCGCGGGATCCAAGGGTGCAGCCCCTGTCGACGCGGATGGCCCACCACGCGCGGCAATCGATATGCTGGGAGCCGCCGTCACTGATGAAGATGGAGCTGCACGCCCCTAGTACTGTTCAGGCACCGCCAAGAACATCGGGCCAAACCGCGCAGCATGACATGTTTGACCTGGCTTCAACGCAGGAGCTCAAAACCCAAAGTCTGGCCATTCGCAGTCGACCGTCTCATTGTGAAGAAAGCCTTCACGAGTGAGAAGTGCATCAACTCTCGGCACATCACCTGCTATTTCAACATCATGGATGAGCTCATCGCCCAAGGGAACCACATCAAAAAAAATGTCAATGCAGTAGCAGTAGAAGTCGAACTCGGGGCTACCCTCTCTTCGGTCGTTTTCCTGCCATGGCTACAATCTGCTCTGCCAATACACCTTTGGCTGCTCGCAGATGGTGGACAGCCTTGGCCTTTGCCGCGTCATCATTCGCTGCTGCTGCCGCCTTTTGGGTTTCGTCAACTCTTGTCGTGGCCTTTCCGAGCTTGTCTATGCCATCATCGGCGTCATCGAGGTCCATCTCATCATCCTCGCCATCACTTGGCACAGCTGGAGGAGGCCGAGCACCGTTGGCCGCAGCAGTCGCGTGGGCCTCAAGTAGATGGCGGAGCGTCTCGAAGTGATCCTGCCCTTCGCTCTTCTGCTGCTGGAACCAAGTTTTGAACTCTTCACTGGAGATTGCCAAGATGGTCTCGTCGAGCCTGAGCATCGGTCCACCACCTTCACTGGCAATACCTTTGGCGTAAGCCTCCTTCGCCTCCTGTTGCAACACCTGCGCTTGGCGCTGCGCCCGCTGCAATGCAGACTCCGCATCCTGCATCTTCTTCTCGAGCTCAAGCTGAGCCTTCTCAACTTCCTCCTTGGTCGTGGAAACATACTTGGTGAGCTTCGCCGCCGTCCCCTTGGCCTTCTCAAGGCGAGCGAAGATGGAATGTACTTGGACGTGAAATGGTTTTGTTCATTGGATATGATGTTGTACCTTCTCCACCATCTCGTCGGCCGCCTTCTGGTCATCAACACATAGCGCAAAACGGGATGCCTTTTGCCAGTCGGTCAACCTGTCCTTGAGCTCTTTCTGGTCATTGCCGTCCTTCTCCGCCCATGGGGGCTTCGACGTGCTGGTGCTGGTGGGCTTCTCAAGGGACTCGAGCCTTTTGAGAATGGCCTGCATGGACTTCTCAAGGAAGGAACATGGCCCCCCCTCAGCCCAGCGACCCTTTGGACCCTTCTGTACACTACCCCCTGCAAAGACCCCATCCTCGTCCTCCCTACACCCTATCCTCGTCCTCCTTCCCCCCCCTCGAGCTGCCCTGCCAAACAAAGATACAGCCAACGCCACGATACGCAATGCAATGCTGCAGCCACGCTGCGTCACAGCTTTGATACATTGTGTGCTCCAAGCGAATTGGCGGATGTGCGCGGCAGCGCGACATGATACAGGCACTGATGCGATGCGGGGACCGCAGCACCTCCTACAGCACGTGAATCTGCATTACTACAGGATCTATGCGCTACGACTCGGCTGAGCCAGCCACTTCCCAGAACACCTCATTTACGCTGCGTGTGCCAGCATATGCCGCGCGGCTTCCGCAGAGGTCAGATTGACAGGAGCACAGACAGCGTCGGGTGGCCGAGCTGGAAGACCCTCGCCGTTTCCAACCTCTCCGATGAAGGTGTGGACATGCAGCCAGTGAACGGAGATGGTGCTGGGAAGGTGCACGCACTGCATCTCTGCCTCGACCGTGCCCGGGCCACCAACGCCGGCTTCCACGAATACGCGCCGCCCAGCGTCTAGGAGCGAAGTGAGCAAACCTTCCGCTTCTCCTCCCGGGCACGCTGCTATCATCGATACGATTGTCTCGTGGTAAGAAACGGGTATTGTCAGCAAGTCCTGGTGGTCTTTCATGTTGTAGAATGTTGCTGCAGTTTCCGTAATCTCCAGGGCCACCCTGTCTTGGCAGGACTCGCGCTGGCACTGCTCAACCGACTTCTCCCCACAATTCCAGAGGTCCAAGCAGTGGCCAGTGAACAAGCAGAAACATTTTTCCCCACCCCCTCGCTCAGCCGCAGCTGCTTCCCCAGATGCACCGCCACAAGTGCCCAGCATGCGCACTGTGGCAGGCAGAGCAACGACGTGTTTTCTTCCCGAGCCTCCCCACACCGCTGCTGCAAGCGCAAACGCTACTACGACTGTCAACGAAACAGCTGCCAGAGCCAGAGCAGGCACTGTGCGCCGCACGCGATAATCTTCATCGGCCAAGCTTGCCGCTCCCAGCGTCTCCAGACCGCTGCGCGAAGCTGCGCTGCTAGATTGAGAGACCACCCTCCTCATCTCTACTTCCTCGCCACCTCTGCCTAACAATCCACGATCCATGGAGCAGCAGCCCAGCAGTAGTACTGGCAAGAAATCTACATGGGCAGAACGGCGTGGCAGCTTGACCCTTCACTCAATGATAATAGCGATAATGATGACGGTCCATACTCGTGACGTTCGCATCCTGGTTGTGAAAACAAAGGGGGTCGCAAGAACAAGGTACCACCCGCAAGTCTGGATAAGAGCATCGAGCGCATTCGAACAATGTTGAAGGCCAAGCCAAGACGGCCCGCCGCAAGCGCCGCTTTGTTCAAAACTATGCATGGTCGTCGACGGTAGGAACCTCCAGAATGGACACATGTGACCTGCAAGACAGCTCAATAATACCTTAAATCTACCCATCCACTTAGCCTCCACGATGGCCCCGGAGTCTCCCGCGCAAACCCCCGAAACGCCAAACAAATGTCAGAAGCGCACAGTTATTAACGATGTAGGCGTTCTCGCCTTAATGTACTGTTTCAGATGGGCCGTGGAAGCCTCAGGATGGCCCCAAGGTGGCCCAAGAGGGCCCCGAGTAATCCCAACAGGGGACTAACAGGCGCTCAACAGAGCCCGAACCAGTCACAAGAGAACCCGGGGAAGGCTCGCACCGTCCTACAGGATGCTCCCAGATAGCCCCAAGCTGCCCTCCCGAAAAAGCTGAGAGAAGAGTCCGAAAGGATGCTGAGCCGCCAGAAGGCCACAAGAGAGCCCCAAGAGGACCCGAACTCTGCCTATGAGGGCATGGACGAGGCCCGAAACTTGTCGTAACTGCACGAACGCAAGAACAAGGAGGCCAGAACCACAGCCCACTCGAGCAATCGTCCTAAGCGTCCGAGGCCATAACCACGGCCATGCCATATCCAGAGCGTCGTCCTGATCAGGGGATTTTTTTTTTTTTTTTTCTCGGCGCCACGGCCCGACACGGGTCGAAAAACTGCCTGAGATCCGCTCGGCAAAATCGCTCCATGGAAGCTGACGGATCACGCTTCGCGTGGCACTGGGCTCAAATGGTTGCGGGCGAGCGCCCCTGACCCAAGCAAGTGAGCCACACTCAGTGCCAGTAAAAGTCGTGAGACAAGGCCGGCACGATCAGGGGATTTGTCTGCTGATGTCTGATGTCGTTCACAGAGTCATCACAGATGATAGCTGGTGGCGCTGCAGGGCTCATGCCCTCCCTGGCCATGACCTCCTGCACTCCTCATGGTACTCCTCCAACTCTCCCAGACCTCCTCTCGCCCTCTTCCTGTACGTCCTCACACCGCTGCTATAAACGCACGCCGCCCATGTTCTACGAATGTCCGCCACCGTGCCGCTGGACACGGAGTGCGCGTGTCCCCAGGTCCTTTGCCTAATCCTCCCTGCCTCAGTCCTCACTCTTGAAGAATATTCCAGGGGCCCGGACTCGAAATTCCAAAATCCCTTGGGGTTTCCCGCGTGCTCCCTGGGAATTGTTCGGGCCCAGACGGCCCCCAGATTGGCCCAGAGCGCCCCAAGAGGCCCCCCAGACGGTCCAAGAGGGCTCCGAGTCGCCGAACGATCGGCCCAAGACGCCCAAAATGGCCCAAGAGGCGTCCAAGACGCTCCAAAAAAGCCCAAGTGGCCTCAAAGAGGGCCCCCAGAAGGCTTGAGAGCGCCCCAGGATGGCCCAAGAGGCACCCAAGATGACCCAAGAGGGCCCCAAGACGGCCCCAAAAGGGACCCAAGAGAGGGAGCACGAACCGAAAATCCAAGCCGTCCGCCCCAAGAGGCCCCCAGAAGGCCGCAAGAGGCGCCCAGGAGGCCCCAGGAGGCCCAAGAGGCCCCCAAGAGGCCCCGAGAGGCCCCAGGGAGGCCCAAAAGAGGCCCCAAGAGGTCCCCAAGCGGCCTCACACGAGATCCCAATGGAGATCCAATATGCTTCATACCCACAACCCAGGCACGGTGGCGGGATGGGCCTAAAGCCATTAGACCTGGCCAGGCACAGAAACGGAAAGAGCGCTGCAGCAACAGAAACCGAAAATACTCACACCACCGTTCGTGCTGGGAGCCTTGGCGTTGAGAGCTTGTTACGTCACCCCTCGCTCGTGGGAGCCTTGTTGTTCAGAGATGGTTGCGTTGCCGCCCGTTCCTGAGCCTTGGCTCGGCCTTGGTGTCAGGAACTTGTTACGTCACCGCTCTCTGCTGGGAGCCTTGGTCTTATCAGCTTGTGTACGTCACCGTTCGCTCTTGGGAGCCTTGGTGTGAAGAGCTTTTTGCGTGACCGATCGGCTTTATTTGGCGTCTCTGGGCCTTCGTGGGAGTCCTATTGGGGCCCTTTTCGAGCCCTTTTGGAGGCCTCTTGGGGGCCTCTTGGGGGCCTCTTGGGGGCCTCTTGGGGCTTCTTGGGGGTCTGTGGGGGCCTCCTGGGATCGTCTTGGGGCGAAAGGGTAGACTTTCGGGTTCGTGGTCCCCCTCTTGGGGCCGTCTTGGGGCCCTCTTGGGCCGTCTTGGGCGCCTCTTGGGCCGTCTTGGCGCCCTGTTGGGCCGTTTGGGGGGCCTCTTGGGAGCCTCTGGGGCCGTCTCGGGGCGGTCTTGGGGGCCTCTGGGGCCGTCTCCAACGCCGTGGAAGCCGAAAAGCCGTGCATGCTTAAAATGTACGTTTTCCCATAAGAGAAAAATTAGTTTCGCCTCCTGATGGCCTCGTGGGACGCCTCTTGGGGGCCTCTGGGGGCTTCTTGGGGGGCTGTGGGGACCTCCCGGGAGCGTCTTTGGGCGATAGGCTAAACTTTTCCGTTCGTGGTCCCCCTCTTGGGGCCGTCCTGGGGCCCTCTGGGGCCGTCTTGGGCGCCTCTTGGGCTGTTTCTGGGGCCCTCTTGGGTGCCTCTTGGGGGCCTCTTAGGCCGTCTTGGGGCGGTCTTGGGGGCCTCTTGGGCCGTCGTAAGGCGCAAAGCCGTGCATGCTAAAAATGTACCCTTCTTCCCATAGGAAATCTATGATCTTGGCCTCTTGGGGCCCTCTTGGGGCGCCCCTTGGGCGCCCCTTGGGGGCCTCTTGGGGGCCTCTTGGGCCGTCTTGGGCGGTCTTGGGCTCTCCTTGGAGCGCTCTTGGGCCGTCTTGAAGGAGAATCCGAAAACATGACAAAACCCTAGGGAAAACCCCAAAACGGCCATTAACGCCAATCTCCCCACGCTTCGCCCCTCCCTGGAACCCCTCCCTCTAGGGCTTCGCCCCAACACAACGTCATCGCTGGTACCTCGCTCTTTCCGTTACCTGGCCCGGCACAGAAATGGAAAGAGCGCTGCAGCAACGGAAACCGAAATGACTCACACCACCGTTCGTACCGGGAGCCTTGGCGTTGAGAGCTGGTTACGTCACCCCTCGCTCTTGGGAGCCTTGGGGTTCAGAGATTGTTGCGTGGCCGCCCGTTCCTGAGCCTTGGCTGGGCCTTGGTATCAGAAACTTGTTACGTCACCGCTCTCTGCTGGGAGCCTTGGTCTTATCAGCTTGTTTACGTCACCGTTCGCTCTTGGGAGCCTTGGTGTGAAGAGCTTTTTGCATTACCGATCGCTCTTGGCGTCTCTGGGCCTTCGTGGGAGTCCTATTGGGGCCCTTCCTCTTGGGGCTTCTTGGGGGGCTGTTGGGACCTTCCGGGAGCGTCTGGGGACGATAGGCTAGACTTTGCGGTTCGTGGTCCCCCCTCGGGGCCGTCTTGGGGCCCTCTTGGGCCGTCTTGGGCGCCTCTTGGGCCGTCTGGGGGCCCTCTTGGCCAATTTGGGGGGCCTCTTGGGAGCCTCTTGGGCCGTCTTGGGGCGGTCTTGGGGGCCTCTGGGGCCGTCGTCCACGCCGTAAAAGCCGAAAAGCCGTGTATACAAAAAATGCACGTCTTCCCATAGATTTTGGCCTCCTGCTGGCCTCGTGGGACGCCTCTTGGGGGCCTCTTGGGGCTTCTTGGGGGGCTGTGGGGACCTCCTGGGAGCGTCTGGGGACGATAGGCTAGACTTTGCGGTTCGTGGTCCCCCCTCGGGGCCGTCCTGGGGCCCTCTTGGGCCGTCTTGGGCGCCTCTTGGGCCGTCTGGGGGCCCTCTTGGGCCGTTTTGGGGGCCTCTTGGGAGCCGCTTGGGCCGTCTTGGAGCGGTTTGGGGGGCCTCTTGGGCCGTCGTCAACGCCGCGAAAGGCGAAAAGCCGCATATGCAAAAAATATACGCTTCCCTTTGGAAAACAAATAATGTTGGCCTCTTGGGGCCCTCAAGGGACGCCCCTTGGACGCCTCTTGGCGGCCTCTTGGGCGGTCTTGGGCGGTCTTGGGCTCTTCTGGGACGGAAAAAAAGAGAAATCCGAAAAACATGCAAAAACCTTCGGGAAAACCCCAAAACGGCCATTAGAACTGAAACGCTCGCGCTACCCCCCCCTGGAACCCCCCTTAAGGGGCTTCGCCCAACACACAACGTCATCGCTCGTACCTCGCTCTTTCCGTTACCTGGCCCGGCACAGAAATGGAAAGAGCGCTGCAGCAACGGAAACCGAAATGACTCACACCACCGTTCGTACCGGGAGCCTTGGCGTTGAGAGCTGGTTACGTCACCCCTCGCTCTTGGGAGCCTTGGGGTTCAGAGATTGTTGCGTGGCCGCCCGTTCCTGAGCCTTGGCTGGGCCTTGGTGTCAGGCCTTGCTACGTCACCGCTCTCTGCTGGGAGCCTTGGTCTTATCAGCTTGGTTACGTCACCGTTCGCTCTTGGGAGCCTTAGTGTTAAGAGCTTTTTGCATTACCGATCGCTCTTGGCGTCTCTGGGCCTTCGTGGGAGTCCTATTGGGGCCCTTTTCGGGCCCTCCTGGTGGCCTCTTGGGGGCCTTTTGGGGTTTCTTGGGGGTCTGTGGGGTCTTGGGGCGAAAGGCTAAACTTTCGGGCTCGTGGTCCCCATCGTGGGGCCGTTTTGGGGCCCTCTTGGGCCGTCTTGGGCGCCACTTGGGCCGTCGTGGCGCCCTCTTGGGCCGCTTCGGGGGCATATTGGGAGTCTCTTGGGCCGTCTTGGGGCGGTCTTGGGGGCCTCTTGGACCGTCGTCAACGCCGCGGAAGCCGGAAAGCCGTGTATGCTAAAAGTGTACTTTTTCCCATACGAAATCGATGAGTTTGGCCTCCTGGCGGCCTCGTGGGACGCCTCTAGGGGGCCTCTTGGGGTTTCTTGGAGGGTTGTGGGGGCCTCCTGGGAGCGTCTTGGGGCGATAGGCTAGACTTTTCGGTGCGTGGTCCCCCGCTTGGGGGCGTCTTTATATATATATATATATATATATATATATATAACAGAAAGACGTGCGATCGCAAGACGATCTGTCGTGTCAGCTTGCACGGTCAAATGCGCACGAGCATTGTATGATCGATTTCTGTATACAGGCTTCGTAATACATGGCGCTGCGTCGCAACTGCACTTCACAGCTTGATCGCAAGAGCATGGACCCAGCCATCGCAGCAAGAGAACAGAAGGTACAAGAGTTGATCAAGCACAGCTCAAGCTGCCGCTCACCCGTGCTATCGTTTACATAGCACAATGAGCACTCTACAGAAGCTGCAAGAAAGGAACCACATCATATCAATCTACCAACTGTGGGAAGGTCCTGACAAGTCACATTGACGAGCATGTCAAAACATCTAATTGTGGGCCTACTCACTGGTTCAACCATCCGATGGCAACTGCTATCACGAAGCCGGGCCAAACTCCACCTTATCGCCCTGATGGGTTGAAGAACTCAAGTGCTGCGCTGAGCCCCATGCGGAGACTGTTGACAAACGTCCACCGCCGAGGCGCCCAAGGCCTGCCACATGTAACGAAAAGATCCTCATCGCTGTCGTCGCAAAACCAACGCTTCGTGACATCTAGATCTCCCCTTGATAGCCGGTGTCGGAATACTTGACGGGCAAGGCGCTCATCATGTCTCGCCAAGATTTTCTCCCCAGCTACACGATCTGAATAGAAGAACCTCAAGCATGGAACTCCTTCTGCGAGCTCACGCGCACGCGCCGCTAGTTGTGGCTGGATGTCGTTGTGCCTCCAACCTGTTGCTGCGGGAGCATCTTCACCTTCCACAGTGAAAATTGGTTCCATTGGACCTCGCGGGGGGTCACCACCCGGGGCATCCGAATATCCATTGTTGAGTTCACAAAAATACAATGCCCATCCAGGAAAAACTCCATGTCGATACCGAGCGATATGAGACTCCGAGCTGTGCGACTTATACACAAAATCTGGTGAAGGGAACCGACTCTCAAGGCCCCACGACCCCTCACTTCTCGTGTAAACTCCGCTTATCCGGTCACAGACATTCTACTTTTTCCGTATAGTAACTTGGATGGTCCCATCGGCCTGGCAAATGTGAGACTCCATGTCCTATCGCACACCGGTCGAGAAGCGACATGCAAGCATAATCAAATTGAAACTCTGTCAGCACAAGTGCGCTTGAGCCGGTATGGGCTTGAGCCAAAATGGCTACGGCCCGCTTGGGGCCGTCTTGGGGCCCTCTTGGGCCGTCTTGGGCGCCTCTTGGGCCGTCTGGGGGCCCTCTTGGGCCGTTTTGGGGGCCTCTTGGGAGCCTCTTGGGCCGTCTTGGGGCGGTCTTGGGGGCCTCTTGAACCGTCGTCAACGCCGCGAAAGCCGAAAAGTCGCGCATGCTAAAAAAAGCACGTTTCCCCATAGACAATCAATGATTTTGGCATCCTGTTGGCCTCGTGGGACGCCTCTTGGGGGCCTCTTGGGGTTTCTTGGGGGGCTGTGGGGGCCTCCTGGGAGCGTTTTGGGGCGATAGGCTAGACTTTTCTGTTCGTGGTCCCCCTCTTGGGGCCGTCTTGGGGCCCTCTGGGGCCGTCTTGGGCGCCTCTTGGGCCGTCTGGGGACCCTCTTGGGCCGTTTTGGGGGCCTCTTGGGAGCCTCTTGGGCCGTCATGGGGCGGTCTTGGGGGCCTTCTTGGGCCGTCGTCAACGCCGTGAAAAGCGAAAAGCCGTATATGCTAAAAAAATAATTTCCCCATGGAAAAACAATGATTTGGGCCTCCTGGAGCCCTCTTGGGACGCCCCTTGGGCGCCTCTTGGGGGCCTCTTCGGGGCCTCTCGGGCCGTCTTGGGCGGTCTTGGTCTTGGGCTCTCTTGGAGCGCTCGGGGGCCGTCTTGAGGGAGAATCCGAAAAACATGCAAAAACCCGACGGAAACCCCCCCAAAACAGCCATTAGAACTGAAACGCTCGCGCTACGCCAGTTGTTCTATGACATCAGAAGGCTTGGGCTTCAGCGTGTCCAGCTCAAACTCTCGACCAGAAAGAGGTGTCTGAAGACTTTTGAACCAATGTGTCGAAAAAAAGGCTGCTCGTTCATCTGCTGACCCTATGCGTGGTGAGTGCGGCGGTGGCGGTGATATGATGCTGACGCTAGGGACCACCTTGGGCAGGAGTAACCTGTTTGTTTTCAGCTCAGAAGTGCCAGAGAAGAAAAATGTGTGTTCAACTCCGTTGTGTGCGCCTGCGCCCGAAGTATGTGCACCCTTCGGTCCCGAATCCGTCGCTTCTTGGACCGGCTCATTGTAGAAGAAGCCTGCCAGATTGTCTTACGAGGGTGCTGCCAACTTGCGTGTTGATGAAATTGTGTACGAGACTTGCACTGCCACTTTGAAGTTGGGCTACCTCCCCCACATTGCGCCACAAGGTCGGCTTGGAAATTGCTGTCACGAGGTCGCATGTATGAAGGTAGGTACCCTACGCGGCTGTGTCCCACGCTCGTGGGAGGCCAGGCGTTGGCCTCCGCACCTAGCTCGACACGCCCGAATCGCTTAGGCGGTCGTGAGATTCCTCCTCCTCCTCCTCCTCCTCCTCCTCCTCCTCCTCTTCCTCCTCCTCCTCCTTCGGCCTTCCGACGGCCCGAGACGGCCCAAGAGCCCCGAAAGATCGCCCCAAGATCGCCCAAGAGGCCTCGAAGATGGCCCCAGACAGGCCCAAGAGGCCCTCAAGACGGCCCCAAGATGTCCCCAAGAGGCCTACAAGACGCCCAAAATGGCCTCGTGTGAGCACCCCAAGAGGGCCCCAAACCGGCTCAGAGAGGCCCCAAGATGGCTTCCGACGGCGTCAGACGGGCCAGGAATGCCTTAAGATAGCCGAAGAGGCCCAGAGGAGCCCCCAAAGGCCGCCAAAATGCCCAAGGAGGCCCCCAAGATGCCTCCAAGAGGCTCCAAGGCAGCTCCCAGAAGGCCCCAAGAGTGCCCCCAGAGGCTCCCAAGATGCCACCTCATCCTCCTCTTCCTTCTCCTCTTCCTCCTCCTCCTCCTCCTCCTCCTCCTGCTCCTTCTACTCCTCTTCCTCTTCCTTCTCCTCCTCCTCCTCCTCCTCATCCTCCTCCTCCTCCTGATACTCCCCGCCATCCTCCCCCACGTGTTCCCCGAAGGGTTTCCACAACGGCTGGTGGAACACACGGCCCGATAGCTTGGCAGAGCTCTTGCCACAACGCTAGACTACATGTGCGATTCCAAAAGGCAGGGGGCGGCGGTGACTCGCCGTAGGCGTCTTCGATATAATGTACATGATATACGGCTGTGTCCAGAGCACTTGAACAACCCAGGAAAGCGTCACGAATCCCCTCCTCTTCAGGTCGATGCAATGGTGTCGCACGCCTCTAATATAGGAACACTTCTAGACAAACTTACTTGGAATGATCTGCCAACAGATTGCAAGCGCAGGGGGGTTTTGCAACAGTCGCGTGACCCTGGTAGCTCGATTAGCGCGCGATATCGGAACCAGTGGTTCTGTATCAGCGCTAACAACGGAAAATCTACCTGGCCGCGTCATCGTAGAAGCACCGCAGAAGACACAAGGCGAGCACAACAAGGTCACCTGCCATACCTCATCAGCCTCTTGAACTCTCGAAGATCCAGGTGCCCGTCGCCATCGGCATCGGCAAGTCTGAAGACCTCCTCGACTTCGTCTTCTGTCAGCGCTTCACCACGCGTGGTCAATTTCTTTTTCAGTTCCCTGCAGCTGATGGACCCGCTATTGTTGGCATCCAGGACTCTGAAAGCGTCCTCCAACTCTTTAGTGTCGTCCTTTCCTTTCTGTTGGATATGGGGCGTCACCATCTTTAGGTACTCTGTGAAATCGAGCCCCCTGCTTCCATCCCTGTCGTGTTTCGCTATCATCTTTTTCAGTTCTGCCTCCGTGGGGTTTGAACCCAATGCGCGCAACATGTGCCCAAGCTCCTTCCAGGATATGTAGCCACTTCCATCCGTATCGAACAATTGGAACTGCTCCTTCAGCTCCTGCACTTCCTTCTGGCTCAAGCTCATTGCAGCCGCACGCGTGCACGCAGTGGTGCCTGCACATGCCCCAGCCCTCGAGATCAAAAGGGCAACGGAGAATGACGACAGCAACCACGGCGATGACGAGGCTGACGGTCATGACCCACATGCGGCCACGACCCAGATGCGAGCACGCTAGTGATGGTGATGGTTATCATAAAGTTGAGGGCGCCTGGTGGCACAACGATGGGCATGATGGTAAGCATGCGCGCACTGTGCTTCACACGGCATGCTGACGTTGCGATTCCTATCACGCCTTGGCAGATTCGAGAACAGTAACTCCTGAGCGCAGGCAGGGCACACGCGATCAGATCTAAAGCAAGAGCGCGGCACTACGGTGAGGGCACTGGATAAGGAACCAGTGTATGAAGGATCCGGGGTCTGGAAGCCGGTGGAACTCCAATCGTGGACTGGCCAGGGGTATCACGGCTGCCCTGGTTAGATAAGGAACCCCCATCGGAGATCTGAAGCCTCCTGGGCACATTCTTTCACGAACGCCCAAACCGAAATGACAACTCCTGGGCGCAAGTAGTGTAAACGCCATCGAAGGTACAGCAACAACACACGATCTTCGAGCCCCCGCTGATCAAGATGTCGTCTTTCGATATCCCGTGAGCGGCCTGACTGCAGCATGGTGCTTCATTCGAGCCCTTGGACAAGCATCGACGCTCACCAAGAGCATGCCTGCGCCCTCCTCTTAGCCCTGCGGGCCCGCACTGGCCCTCGAAGGGCTCAGGTCATGTCCACCAATAGTTCACAATATTGTTCTGCAACACGTGCGCGCGCCCCCCCAAGGGATCGGTGGTCCGAAATCTGGCGACGTCATGTTCTACAGTCATCTTGCTACCATACGGAACGCTGAATAAAGAACGAAGGGGCTTTTCTAGCCACGGCGAGCCTCGGCCACGAACTGGCGCCCCGTCCTAAAATCGAAGGCGGCCTGAAAACCAGGCCCTCATAAGCGCAAAGTAGTCCTTAATTCAGCGTCTTGACTGTAGCCTCGAAGCCGAATCGGCGGAGAGCACATCTTCGGCGAGGCCTCACATGCGGGCTCAGTGCGGACGGCCCCGTCGTCTCCTCTGCACGCCCTGTGCTCACCCTTACGGTGCTCGATGGTTGCGCCCCCAAGCGTCCCCAATGCCCTTCCACGTCGGGGGCAAGAAAGAGGCGGGATCTACGCAAGAGGGTATAGCGACCTCATGCATGGCTTACGCAGGCCGCTGGTGAGGGTGAGGATGGCGATGAAGAGGACCAAGACGATGACGATGACGACGACGATGCCGATGCCGTCATCGTGGTCATCATCGCTCACGGGCGCCCTCCAAGGGCAACCTAAGTGCCAATATCCGCGCAGTCGATCACCTATGTTTGCGTCGCTTGCTCGGGCGGCCCCCAACCTCCCGAGGCGGCTGAAAGACTTCCAACGATATGCCCCCGAGACCTCATGCTTCTCAATCCTCCTCCGCTTCGATTCCTTATACATAACTTCTCCCTTTCGCACCCCGAGGCCAGTCGAAAGGGCGGGCCAGGCGTTTCGCCTGAGGCACCCTCACCACTGATGACCCTGAAGTTTGAACATTGGCAACAGTTTCACAGATGAGGGGCGGATCGTTTTCAAAATATGGCTCTCGCCTTAGCGCCGCGCACATGATGTTCGAAACCGTGTAAGAGATTCACGGATTGAGGGCGAGTCGTTTTCAAAATGTCGCTCCCGCATCAGCGCCGCGCACGTTCGTTTTCAACATTCGCACGAGCTTCACGGATTGAGGGCGGGACGTTTTCGTGTGGCTCTCGCCTTAGCGCCGCGCACGTTCGCTTTTTTTTCAAATTTGCAAGAACTTCACGGAGTGAGGGCGGCTCCTTTTCAAAATGTGGCTCTCGCGTTAACGTCGCGCGCATTCATGTGAGCTGTACGAATTTCACGGGTTCCCATGGTCAACGTACCACAAACGTTTTGGGAAGATTCGGTTACGTTGATTCGCGGTCTGGAAGTCCCAAGAACGGCGTTCTGGAGCGATTCTGGATCGCCAAAGCGCAACAGTATCCGTGGCGTTGGAGTCCCGAGAACAATGTGTTGGCATGCTTCAGGGTCTTCAAATGTTCCCTATCTAGGCTCTGCCTAGAAGGGTTATTACTTTATAAGCTTAAAGGGTCGGACAGTGGTCCACGCCCCGGGCGTTCCCCCAGGATCCGCCCCGCGGTTCCCCCAATGACGTTCCCTTAGCTTAGCGTTCCTTATCTCATCTTAGCTTAGCTTATTTCATCTTAGCATAGCTTAGCTTCATCTTAGCTCAGGCGTGTCTTAGATTGGCTTACCTTCATCTTAGCTTCGCCGAGCTGTAGCATAGCAGAGCACAGCATAGCATAGCATAGCATATCATATCATAGCATAGCGCAGCATAGCGCAGCAGAGCATAGCATAGCATAGTATAGCATAGCAACTAATGCTGCTTTCCTAGGGGCTTCAGCTTCTAGGTAGGGTCGCACTGGGGTAATTTGTCTTCCAACGAGGCAGTCCCTGTGGAAATTAACCGCTGTACGGGCCTATTCAGAGGGAGCTTGGAGGGAGGGTTTACCCAAATATTGTTGACGACTATTGGGCTTACGCTGGTCCTCCTCCTCCTCCTCCTCCTCTTCCTCCTCCTCCTCCTCCTCCTCCTCCTCCTCCTCCTCCTCCGCAAACCTCCTCCTCCTCCTCTTCCTCCTCCTCCTCCTCCGCCCTCCCCTCCTCCTCCTCCTCCTGGTCCTCCTCCTCCTCCTCCTCCTCCTCTTCCTCCTCCTCGCTGGCGTCTGGGAGGACCCCCCCCCGCCCTGCCCCGGGGCCCGCGAGGGTCCCCGCCGCCGAGGGGCCCCCGAGGTCCCTTAAGGACAGGATTTGGCCCAACTTAGTCAACATTGTCTTATTCGTTTCTTCGACATTGGGCGGAAGGGAGGGGGATTGACAGGTCTGCATGATGCTTGAGCTTCCCTGGGCGTTGCAGTTCAGCCAGTCAGCCCCCTGCCGCCGCTGCCTGCAGCTGCTGCTTCTGAGGGCTGGCCCGGCTGGCTTGCGCTGCGCCTAGTAGCTAATTAGGCTTGCCCGTTGCCCCGGACTCCCTTTCGCCGCCTGCCCTCTGCTGCGTGGCCGCGACCCCCACCAAAAAAGGAAGGGAGGGGGGAGGGGGGGATCCGGACCTCTGCTCAAATCGACTGCTTGCAATATGAATGGAAGGGCCATCGCAAAGGTACGTGCGAAATAAAGGCAGACGAAGGCAAGGAGGGGGAGCAGCAGGGAGGAAGACGACGGCTGTTCAGGAAGCACGTTCGCCCATGGAGGAGTGGGAGGGGCACGAAACCTGATAAATAAAAATGGTTTGCGAATACCCTCCTCGCGCCTCCCTGGAGGAGTGGGAGGGTCACGAAACCTGATAAATAAGTTGGTTTGCGACTGTCTCCCTGGAGGAGTGGTAGTTTGAGTGGCCTCTCTGGCGTGGCCGCCCTGGAGTGGTAAATATGGTATAATAGCTTTGGTATGGTAGATGTGGTATGGTATGGTATGGTATGGTATGGTATGGTATGGTATCGCATGGTATGGTATGGTATGGTATGGTATGGTATGGTAGGTATGGTGTAGTCGGCCATGATATGGTAGGTATGGTATGGTAGGTATGGTAGGCTTGGTATGGTAGGTATGGTAGGCCTGGTATGGTAGGTGTGGTATGGTAGTTATGGTAGAGGTATGGTAGAGGTATGGTAGAAGCATGGTATGGTATGGTATGGTCTGGTCTGGTATGGTATGGTACGGTACGGTATGGTATGGAACGGTACGGTACGGTATGGTATGGTATTGTATGGTATTGTATGATATGAGATGGTAGGTATGGTAGGGGAGGAGAAAGAGGAGGAGGAGGAGGAGGGAGGAGGAGAAGGAGGAAAAGGAGAAGGAGAGGGTGTTCTAGGGAAACAAGAACCCCACTCAGGATGTCGGGAATAAGAACGCGTGCTCCACTACTCGCAAAGTAGCTGCTGGCTAAAGGCCTGGATCCGCCGCGGGTGACTGCCGATCCATTACATCGAGGCAGCCATGCGTTTTTTCTCGGGACGTTTGCAAGTCGGCATTTTGCGAGTTGTGGAACGCGCTCGGTGACAAATCGTGTCGCTGGAGAGCCCCTCCCCCCAGAGCCAAAGGCTGGGGCGGCGCCCAGGGGGGGCCGCTTGAGCGTCAGGGTCCACCGAAATTGGTAGCCAGAGCGGCCGCAGGTGCCCCCCAGGGGCCCGCCAGGTCGGTGACCGAAGGACCCTCAGGCCTGCGAGCGACAGGGCGAGAGCCAGGGGGGCCGATCCAGAGGTGCCGACACCGAAGCAGAAGCGTGACTTGGAGCACTCGCGGTATGCAGCATGAGAGAGAGCGTGTGCTTTGAAACGCCCAGCAAGCTCGGCATCGCTGTTGAAGCGGCGAGTGAGAAATAGATGGACTGCGTAGGCGCCACAGGGGGCGTTGGGCTGAGCCCTCCCTGGGCACTCAGGAACGCCCATCCCACCGGGTTTTTCCCGATGGCATGGCCGAAGCCTCCCAGTGGAGCCTGGACTTACACCCTCCCCGTGGAGTCGCCAACACCACGGCCAGTGGCACCACGCATGAACTGGCTCCAACGCTGCCACTGGCTCTTGGATTCGGTCATCCTGTTTTACTCTCAGGGTGTGGCCCGTTGTCGTCCAACTACTGGTTTCTAGCGGGATAGACTTGCCGCGAGCTGCTCAACAGTCTCCAGTATGTCACCGATGGCCGCGTCATCCCTAAAGATGGGTTTAGGTATCCTTGAAGCCTATAGCAAGCTTGGCAATCCTCCCTCCTCCTCCTCCTCCTCCTCGACCACCTCCTCCTCCTCGACCTCCTCCTGCATGATCCTTTTCCTCATCATCCTCCTGCTCCCTCTGCGGCGGCTGGTCTGGTCAAATGTCCAGAAAAGAAAAGAGCGGAAAACTGGGTTCGAGAGGACGGGATTCCCCCCCCGCCCAAAGGAGAACTCTTTCTGCTTATTATGCTTCGTCCATTTCCCTTGAATCGGTATGAATAACTCCTCCCAGTCTGATCACCTGAAATGTCGATAGCGCGAGCCGGGCGCTTTTATGACCCCGAAGCTGGAAATTTCCAACAGTGGCACGGATGTAGGCGAGTAGCCTTCAAGATGTGGTTCTCGCTGTAGCCTCGCGCACACTCGTCTTGAAAGACCCGAACAGCACCACGGATGGAAGTGGGAAGGCCAAAAGGTGTCGCAACAACACCGAGCACATTCGTCTTAAATCTTCCACCAGCTAAACGAACGGGTGGAGGGGGGTCGTTTTCAAAATGTGGCTGCCACCTGGGCGCCGCGCACATTCGCTTCTTCTGATCCCAACCATCCTGTGGTGTTGGGCCTTCGCTTTGAAGAGACAGCGCCCCGCGTTCCTCACCTCCCGCCTCCTCCTCGTCCTCCTCGTCCTCCTCCTCCTCCTCCTCCTCCTCCTCCTCCTCCTCCTCCTCCTCCTCCTCCCTCCTCCTCCCATCCTTGCCTCTGCTCTCCGCATCCCCCTATTTTGGCACACCCCTAACACGTGCCACGGCCCCAAGGGAAGCTCCACCGAAGGCCCGAATGGCAGTTCTCGCATGGCGCCGCCGCCCCGTTTCGGCATACCCGTCACGCGCTTCGTGGCCCCACAGGGAGCTCCACTGAAGACCCAAGTGGCAGTGCCCGCATGGCGCCGCCGCTCCTGCGTGGCACACCCCTCGCACGCTTCGTGGCCCCATGGGGGGCCCCACCGACGGCCCAAATGACAGCGCCCGCATGACGCCGCCGCCCCATTTTGGTACATCGTTCACACGCTTCGTGGCCCCATTGGGAGCTCCACAGAAGGCCCATATGGCAGCGCCCGCATGGCGGAGCGGCCCCATTTTGGCTCACCTCTCGCAGGTTTCGTAACCCCATAGGGAGCCCCACCGAAGGCCCAAAAGGCACCGCCCGCATGGCGGCGCCGCCCCATTGTGGCACACAAGATTTCACGCTTCGTGGCCCCACAGGGAGCTCCACAGGAGGCACAAGCGGCAGGGTCCGCATAGCGCCACCGCTACAATTTCGGCACACCCCTACACGTTTCACAGCCTCGTAACGAGCCCCACCGAAGACCCAAGTGGCAGCGCCCGCCAGGCGGCGCCCCGCCCGTCTCGGTCACCTCTCACACGCTTCGTAGCCCCATGGGGAGCCCCCACCGTCTTCTCACCTGCCACCCGGCAAGCATACCTGCATATGGTTGGCTCTATCGCCGGGGTAATCCCACCAGCCCGCTGGGCTAAGGTAGTTTGACGAGTTCTTTGGTTCCTCTTCAAAAACCCTCTTCCCGCCCAGGGGGTTTACCTCCCCCCCCTCCCTGAAGTTTTTCTGGAGGGACGATCGGCCAAGGCGCCTAAGGCGGCCCAATATGGCTCCGTGAGGGCGCCCGATGTTTTAAGATGGCCTCCAAGATAGCTCACGATAGCCTGCGATGGTTCAAGGTAGCTTCTGACATACCTCCAAGAGGCCCGACGAGGGCCACAGGACAGTTCCACGTGCTCTCGCGGCCTATCAGGACTCCCCAAAAGGCCAACATCCATCAAACACCCAAGGAACGTCATTGAGTGTTGACTTCTCGCCTTTTCGTTTCCGATGCGCCTTTGAGGCCTCAAGATGGCCCAAGATGGCCCAAGAGAGGCCCAAGAGAGGCCCACGAGGCACCCCAGACGGTCCCAAGAGCGTCCAAGAGCGCCCTCAGAGGGCCCCAAGAGGCGATGTTGATGGCCCCAAATCGAGGACCCCTCCACTTTGATCGATGACCTCCAAGATGGCCACAAAAGGCTCTCGAGGGATCCCAAGGGATCCCGAAGTGGGCTCCATCCAGGAGGGCCCCAGGAGGACCCGAAGACCCCCCAAGAAAGCCCCAAGAGGACCCCAAGATCCTCCGAAAGAGTCCCCAAGAGGGCTCCAAGAGGCGATTTTGAGGGCTCTGTCCTCGTCCTTGTTGTCCTCCTGCTCCTCATCCTCCTCCTCGCCCTCGTCCTTGCCCTCATCGTTTCCTTTTGGTTGTTCCTCCTATTCCTCGTCGACGTCGTCGTGGTGGTGGTCGGCGTGGTCGGCGTGGTCATCGTCGTCATCGTCGTCGTCGCCGTCGCCAACGTCGACGTCGTCGTCGTCGTCGCCGTCGTCGTCGTTGTCGTCGTCTTCCTCCTCCTCCTCCTCCTCCTCCCCCTCCTCCTCCTACTCAAGCTCCTCATCCTCCTCATCCTCCTCCTTCTCTTTCCCTCGCCCCCACGCGGGCCAGGGGGCTCTCCAAAGCCCCCTCTTGCTACCAAAGATCTCTCTGTCCACTCTGGTTGCCCGCTTTGGTTCACTATACGTTTCTTCGTCCCTTTTCCCATCAACTCTCATGGGCAGGGGTTCCGAATGTGCTGGTGGGGACACGAGAAGCGTTTACACGGATGGAGGGGACCGTTTTAACAATTGGCCCACAAGAGGCCCTCAAGAGGCCCCCAGTAGGCCCCAAGAGGCCCCCAGCAGGCACACGGGAAGCCCCAAGCGGCCCCCGAGAGGCGCCCGATAGGCCCCCAAGTGGCTACCAAGAGGCACCAAAACTGCTCCAAGAGGCCCCCGAGAGCGCTCCGAGAAGACCCCAAGAAGCATCCCTGAGGACTCTGACCCACGTCAGCGTCGTCGTCGTCGCCGACGCAGCCGCCGTCGTCGTCGTCGTCGTTCCCCCTCAGGTTCGGCGGCACCGGCTGTAAGGCCTTCGCCATATCTTCCCCCAATCGCACCCCCAGACCTGTCGGTAGGGCAGGCCCGGCGTTTCGCCCGGTTTTTCCTCACCACCTATGACCCTGAGACGTGAAATTTGCAACAGCTCCACGGACGGAGGGCGGGTGGGTTTCAAAATATGGCTCTCGCCCGAGTGCCGTACCCATTCGTCTCTGTTTCTACACGGATGTTCTCGCCCGAGTGCTCTCGCCCAAAAGCTTCCTGTTTCTACACGGATGACGGGGGGCGTTTTTCAAAATGTGGTTACTGCCTTCGCGTCGCGCGCATTCGCCTTGAAAGCGTCAAACAGCTATACGGATGGATGGCGACTCCTTTTGAACATGTGGCTCTCGCCTTAGCGACCGCCAGGCACCTTCCTCTTTAAATCTTCCAACAATTACACGGGTGTAAGGGGGGTCGGTTTCAAAACGCGGCTGTCGCATGAGCGCCACGCACAGTCGAGTGGTTTCAAACAGTTGCACTGATGGAGGGAACTGTGTTCACAATGTTGTTATCGCCTTAGCGCCGCGAACATTCGTCTTACAAGCTTCCAACACTTGCACTGCTAGAGATGTGATCATCTTCAACATGTCGTTATTGCCTTAGCGACACGCGCATTCGAGTCAAAAACTCAAAACAATCACTCGGGTGGAGAGCGGCTCTTTTTGAACATGTGGTTGCCGCCGTACTGCCGCCCACGGGTGGAGGCGACCACGTTTCATCATACATCTTTGACTTCGGGCTTATCTAATCTCTACACGGGTGGACGGCAGTTCCGTTCAACTTTCGGGGCTCTCGCGTGAGAGTTCTACTGATTCTATGACCAGGCACTGATGGAAAAACTCTGCACGGATTGAGGGCGCTCTTTTTCAAGAGCGGGGCTGCTGCCGGACACCTTCCTGGATTCCATGATCCCACCCCGCCACCGTTCTTACAGTGGAGGCTAGTCCACAAGAAACCTTCCACAAGAAACATAACCCTGAGACCCCAAAACGTCTATTGATGTTTTGGTGTGGGGAACGTCGCGCTGTCCATCGCAAAACAATCGAACAAAAAAAAACCAGGGCACCCTGGAGGCAAGCAGGGTGTTTCTTGGCATGCGACCCCACTGTATGGCTAGAAGGCTAGACGCATGGATGGCAGCTCCGATTCACAAGGAGGCTGTCGCCTGACTTGCAGGACCATGGCGCGCTCGACGTTCAATGAGGCGCTTCCCGCAGCGAAGCGGGATTTCTGCAGGGGCTTAGGAGGAGGGGACTCCTGGGACCTGGGAGGTGCACATGTTGCAGCATCTTTGACGCCTCTTGGGTTTACTCTGGTCCTCCCCCCCTCCTCCCTCCTCCTTCTTCCCATCCTCACTACTGCCTCCTTGTCTTCCTCCTCCTTGTCTTCCTCCTCCTCCCCCTCCCACAGGCACCGAACTGGCCTCTGAGTGCCCCCTGGGCTCTGGGCGTTTCCGATTTCTCTGTGCCCAGAGAGCCCCCCGAGATAGATGCCCACTGAGGCCCCAAGATGACCTCTAAGCTATCAGGATGCCCCCGAGGCCTCCAGATGCCCTGACGTGGCTCCAAGATGACCTTAATATCGCCCAAGCGGCCCCAGAATTGTCTCAGGGGGCCCCATGGTCGCCCAAGATGGGCACAATTCGTGCTCACGGGCCCTACAATGCCCCAGAGACTGTCCAGATGATCCAACACGGCCCCAAAATGGCCGACATCCCCTCCTTCCTTCCTCTCCGTTTCCAGTCCTTTCCACCCTTCGGGACGCCGCGATGATCCACGCGCTGCCCGACCCCCCTCCCCCGACAGGGCCACGCTGACCAGGGCATACCCTGTTGCAGCGCGCTGGAACTTGACGCGCTCTCCCAGCTCCTTCTCCCCCGTCCCCTCCCCCTCCCTCTGCCCACTGTTGGACACTGGTGCTCCCAAACAAGTCTGCCCCGAAGAGCCCCACAGTCTAGAGGGCACCAAGAGACCATCCACCGTCACGTCTCATCGGACGGCCCCCGAGCCACGAACCAATCAGTCGAGCGGCGGCAAGAGCCCCCTGACAAATGCATACGACGTGCGCTACCTCGACGCAGGGGGCGACGTACCCTGACGCGAGTGAGACTGGCTCATGTCCGAATCGACCACCAATGGTTTTCTCCGGGGCAACACGGCCGTGACGACTACGCAAACAGACGGCTATGACGTCTGGGACTCCCTGCTGCACGCTGGGTAAGCCGCCTTCAAATACGCTTCGTACGTGCTGATGAGTCGGATATAACTCAAGGGCTCCACGTGCGGACGCACAGAACGCAACCGAGAATAGATGGTCTCAACATCATTGCACACCTCGGTCTGCCCCAATGCGTAGTGCCGGTACAAATACTGGCACACGACTACAGTAGGCGCTCTGTGAACACCGGCTAGGCAGTGAACGACCACGCTACCCTCTTGTGAGCACTCCCATATACGCTTCTGTATCGAGTCCATAACCTTGATAATTGTCTGGGGGGTCGCAGACAGCAATGTGTGGATGGGCTGGAAAATGATAGATGGCCTTGCGCTCCCAACGCTGTACTTGCCAGGCATCATGGCGTCCGCGGTTTCGTGACAGTTCACTATGAGCGTCAGGTAGTTGAAGATTGTGACGCCGTTACTCTCCACGCCCACATGCAGCGTGTCCTCGTCTGAAAGCATGACACGTTGTGTGCGACCAAGCGTGAGATCGTCGCACACAGTATAATTCCTGCGCCACCCTGGTGGCGGGCAGAGCTCAACAGAGTCCTGCTTTATCACAGGATTGGTCGACACTTCCTGTGGCAATGCGGCGCTCAAGATGAGGACCGCTTGTCCAAAGCGCTGCCTCAGAGACTTCACCTCGTCCTCGAGTATTACTGCGAGGGGCGCAGGAGTGGCTTCGGACAGACCGAGGCCGGCTCCTCGCGCCTTCTCGTAAGCCTCGCGCAAGCACACGTACTCGTGACGCCCCAGATCGTCCATGCGAAACTGCACAAAGGTATGCTCCAGCGGAGTTTGAATCGCCGACGCGAACCAGTCAAAGACAGAGTCCAGCGGCTGCTCGCTCCCATCCTCACAAATCACTAGCCAAGTTCGTGGATCCAGCGGGTTGGGCAAAGCCAAGAACTCCGCCGGAGCAGCAACTGGTGGCAGCTGAGCTCGCAGAGGTACGGGACTTGCGGACAACACTGGCATTTTCAATAACGGACACTAGAACGGCCTCTTGCGCCGGATGGGTCCCTCAGCGAATGCCAACTTTGATCGGGTCCTGGCAAAATTGTCCTCTGCGCCTCTGTTTGGGGGTGATGACTGCCTGAACCAGTCTAGGAACAGAATTCCAATGTGCTCAAGATGGATGTGAAACTCAAAAATGAAGTGAGGGCGCGAGGCAGCTGCAAGGCTTCATGCTTTCACCGCTGAACCGATGAGCTCGAGCCAAACTGCGTCGATGGGCGACGCGAGGTACGACCAGCACCCCTCTCTGGCAGGCAAAACCGCACCAGAAAAGCGTGTCGTGCGCTTTGCCAGCTGTGGCTCGCCGCGCCGCACGCGCGTCGCGCACATCTCTAGCCTTGGCCTGGTAGACAGCTGTCCGTGGCCGTCGACGCCTTACCTCAAAATTCTGACCCCACAACTCCAATTGGATGCCTCTACTCCGTCGATTCGCAAAGCACTGATGGGAAGGTGCATGCCGGACGCCTATTTACGCAATCCCAGCAAGCGCAGTCCTGCGAGTAATCCAACTCTCACTCCTGCTCCTGCGCCCACCCTTGCAGCCCCTACTCCCACTCCCGATCCCACTCCAACTCCCACTAAATAATCACGCAGGTCTCAGCTTCCGCTAATTCTGCTGGTGCTCATGGTGCATATCCCCCCCTTACCAGAACCAGAATCGCAGTCGCAACCACCGAAGCGATATCGACAGCCGCACCCGCAGCCTCTGCACCACAGGCGCGACAAACTCTGCCACCACTCGTCGGGCGGCCAGCAAGAGAAGCGGCGGCAACAATGATAGCGACGACACCAGCGCCCTCCCCGACATTGGAATGGGCATCAGCACCAGGGGAGGTGGACGACGAGGAGCAAACGGAGGAGCAGGCGGAGGGGGAAGAGGGTGGGAGGAGGGGGTGGAAAGGCAGGCAGGAGCGAGGGGTGTCAGGGAGGGGGGACGGGAAGACGACGACGACGACGACGACGACGACGACGACGACGGAGAAAAAAAACAAAACCAGCCATCTGGACGAAGGTGGCTTAGAGAACCAGCTCTTCCAACCCCTTTTGTCCCCTTCTGTGGAGAAGCTTACCCCTCCCCCTACCCCTTCACCTGGGGTCTGGACCGTGGTTCCCCGAGGGGTTGGAGCATCCAAGATGTCTCCAAGATGGGTCCGGGTAGCCCATGGCCTCCAAGATCGCATACATGTCTTAGGGCCCCGTGGGAATTCGGCTTCTCTTGGGTCCCTCTCGCGGTCTCTTGGGGTCATGTTGGTACCATTTAGAGCCCTCTTGGGCCCGATTGGGCTCTCGTGGGGCCGTTGTGGAACCTTCTTGGGACATCTTGGGACGCTTGCGGGCCGTCTTGCGCCATTTTAGGGCCTTCTTGTGCCGCAAGCAACTCCCTGTCGCCTCGTCGCCGCCCTGTGCGCCGGCCTGCTGGGCTTTCGCCCAGCTCCCGCCCGTTGCCGCTCGTGGCCGCCATCGCCGCCCGCCCGTCGCCACTCGCGGCTCTCAGGGCTCGTCAGGAGCCCCGCCGTCGCCGCCTCGTCTCGGCCCCCCGGGCGTCGGCCTGCGGCTCCGAGCCGCCGCCGCCCAAAGTTGAGCAGGGACCGACCGTCCCGGCATTCCTCTAGAACCAAAAATGTTTTAAGAACAAGAACAATGTTCTTAGAACATCAACCCGATGCGTAAAAAAAATAGTCCCAGCCAAAAAGTGATCTAAGAACACTTCGTGGAAACCACAAGAGGTTCTTACAACATTGTTTGGTAGGCGTATAGGCACGCCAGGACGCTTCGCCACTGCTTGACCGAGTGCCTGCCCGCCTTGGCACCGTCGCCGCCTCGTGCGCGCTCTCTCGCGGCCCCGACCTGTCGCCGAGTGCCCGTCCGTGGCCGCCTCGTCGCCGCTCCGTCCGCAGGCCTGCAGCCCTGGGCTTGCTCCAAGGTGCCAGCCCTCCTCCTCCTCCTCCTCCTCCTCCTCCTCCTCCTCCTCCTCCTCCTCCTCCTCCTCCTCCTCCTCCTCCTCCTCCTCCTCCTCCCTCCTCCTCCTCCTCCTCCTCCTCCTCCTCCTCCTCCTCCTCCTCCTCCTCCTCCTCCTCCTCCTCCTCCTCCTCCTCCTCCTCCTCCTCCTCCTCCTCTTCCCCTCCTCCACAATTACTCAATATGAATATACTCTCCCTCTTTCCCTGATGGCGTCCGGGTGATAGCCGCGCACCCTCCGCGTACTGTTTTTTTGCACACAGGATGCCCGGAAAATCCCGAAAAACGACTCTCGCTGAGGCGCCGGCGTCATTTTTTCCCAAAATGCTGCTCTCGCGCCGGCGTCATTTTTTCCCAAAATGCTGCTCTCGTTGAGGCGCCGGCCTCATTTCTGCTCCCGAATCCTTCCCCTGATGGCGTCCGGGTGATAGCCGCGCACCCTCCGCGTACTTTTTTTTACACACAGGATGCCCGGAAAATCCCGGGAAACGACTCTCGCTGAGGCGCCGGCGTCATTTTTTCCCAAAATGCTGCTCTCGTTGAGGCGCCGGCCTCATTTCTGCTCCCGAATCGTTCCGAATCGTGCTCCCGCTGCAGCGTGGGCCTCATTTTCGGATCGGTGTTTGGCCTCCGTCGTTCAGGATGGCGTTCTCGCCCCAGCGCGGGCCTCTTTCTCGCGCGCCCATCCGCCCGCCACCACCGCGCCGCACCGCCACCACCACCACCACCACCACCACCACCACCACCACCACCACCAGTACCAACACCACCACCACCAGCACCACCACCACCACCACCACCACCACCACCACCACCACCACACCCACCACCACCACCACCATCACCACCACCACCACCACAACCACCACCACCACCACCACCACAACCACCACCACACCAGCACCAGTACCAACACCACCACCACCACCGCCACCACCACCACCACCACCACCACCACCACCACTACCACCACCACCACCACCACCACCACCACGACAACCACGCACACACACGCACGCACGCACGCACGTGCACCACCACCCACTACGCACGCGCGCGCGGAGCCACAGGTCCGCTACGACACGCGTCCGCGGATAGAGAAAATCAGCGCCATGGTAAGGGATGGGAGGGAGGGGTAGGACGTCAGATATGACGCGAGCGCACCTAGCTTGTTCCCCCTCCCCCTCCTCCTCCTCCTCCTCCTCCTCCTTCTCCTCCTCCTCCTCCTCCTCCTCCTCCTCCTCCTCCTGCTCTTGCTCCAGCTCCTTCTCCTCTTCCTCCTCCTCCTCCTCCTCCTCCTCCTCCCTCGTCGCAGCCATTGTGCGTTGGCCGGCTTTTCCAGTTCGCCGCACGGTGCCATGCGTTGCCGCCCCGTGCGGTGGCCTGCGATAACCGAGCTGTCGCCTGGTGCTCGCCCGTTGCCGCCTCATGCGGCGGCTCGCGCTTCATGGAAGCAGCCACGCAGGTCCGATTGTCCAAAGGTGATGAGAAAACCCTAGTTGCAGAAACCAGACCTAGCAGTGCCTCTCCGCACGATACGCTGTCATAGTGATTATATACGACCACTCATCTACAATATTTTATAGTCTACGAAATTGTATTATATAACATAATCGTATATAACCTTACGTTATGATGTCGTATAGTATGTCATGTTATGTCATACCATAAAGTGTGGTAGCAAGCCATATGTTACTGTATCATGTTGTGAGAAAGTCAGATATGCCATTTGATGTTATCTGGTAGCTGATATACAATACTGTATCATATCAGAGCACACGGTGCGATAGTAAATTATGATGTGCCGCGCTATCTAATATTGCCTTATTTCATATTCTGAATTATGGTATAGTGTCTCATGCTACATCATAGTACATGATGTTATACTGTCTGAGTGTGTAATCTAGCATCATACGTTATATTCTAACATATTCGAATATATCCGAATGCTTTCTCGTGACATGATATAAATCGACAGCATTGTGTTTATGTTATGTTATGCGAGTGTAAATTACGTTATGTGTGGCATAATCTACTGTATTGTAAGACAGTAAATTATAGCATGATGTGTTACAGAAGGTAATGACATATTCTATGGTGATATACTGTATGATCGTATGATGACTTATACCCTAGTACAGTATAATATGCTATGTTACATGTATTACCTTTTTTGTTAATGCATCTATATATGTATAAAAACACGACTGCTGATTCTAAATATCGAACGGCACCATCCCAGGCAATCCTGCCATCGACCCCCCACAAACACAACCGTCATCCCTGCGAAACTGATACGATGTGCTTCACACGCGCTGATCTTAGAAGAGCGTGTTGTACCCATCCCTGTCGACCCCGCGCACATGTCATAACCATTCGCGAGGTCACGTATGGATACGCATTTCGACATCGAGCTCTCCAAAACAAATGAAATTTGCTTCGCGATACAAGCATCGTGTCATTCCTGCACGCGCTGTCTCAAATCCTGAGAACCTCGTCCTCTCTCGCTTCCCCCAAAGAGACACCAGGCGGGCCACGCGCGCATGCAGGTCGAAGTCATGCCGCCAAGCACCGCGGACACACAAACTCTGCGGAACAGTACCATGCGGGCGACAGGCGCACTTTTCTGCGAGCGAACCATCATAGAACAGTGTAGAACGTAGGGCGTGTCACATCAGATGCATTGCTGTGCAAATGTCCGGGCGCTTGGTGCGCGCACACCCTCATCATCCTCATCAGGACCATCGTCATCCTCATCGCCAGCAACATCATTGCCAGGGTCATGATCATTACCATCATCTTCATCACCATCACCCTCGTCGTCATCATCAGCACCGTGGTCATCACCACCGTTATCGGGAGGAGGTTTCTTACTTGGATGCTCGAATGTATCCGGCGCCTCTCATGTCAGTGATCGTTCGCTTGGGGGGGGCAAAGCGTTTGGAGCGTTCGGGATCGGGAATCGCTTCATGGGGAGGCTATGCACGTGAGGTGAACAAGGCGCGTCCTCTGGGGACGCCAGAGACGGGTGCAGAAAAAATTGATACAATGCCCAAACAACAAATACGGTCCAAAATCCGCCGACCCCTTGGGGATCATCGGCGTGTGAGATGCCCCCCCCTCCCCAAACCCCTCCCCCGGGAGCCCGGTCCGGTCGATTTGGAGGGGGGGGGGGGCCCGCCGAGCGACTCACGGGCTCTTCTGGGCCCAAGAAGGCCTAAAGATGGGCCAAGAAGGCCCCAAGAGGCCTCCAAGACGGCCCACGAGGGCCCCGAGACGCCAAACCAGCGCTCCAAGACG